TTCCAATGGTGATGGAAGCTGGGGGAGGTGCGTATGCATTCCACTCCAAAATGAACCTCAAATGAAGGGGGAGGGACAGGAGCAGATCATCTATAGCCTTATCACTATTTATCAATTGGAAAGGGGTAATCTTCATTCACATTCCATTCCCTTGAGAATCAGAAATCCTAAGCTCTGGTTTCTTGGGGAACTGTCAAATTCAGGTCCAGATAGAAAGCTTTATAGGACCGGGATAAGACAGCCATTTAATCTGCATTCTGTGTAAAAAGGCTTGACCCGAGGATCGATAACCTAAGATTGAGCTATTTTATCTATTGAATAATCTCTATATTTAGAAACTGAAAATAGACTATGAGCTTCGGTGCCATCCTTACCAGTGTGCTTGCCAAGAGAGATATTGTTCATATCAATTACCTCCACCGAGCAGTACTCCTCGCAATTAACTTCTACCCGGATTTCCAAATTGCTTTCTCTTGCCGTATAATTGCTTATATTTCTCATTTACCAAAGGTCCTGTTCTTCGCTCCACAGGACGCGTCCACGTTTTTTTTTATGCATAGCGAACCTCCATAACGGTACTATCACTCCGAAAAGGACAGAGCTACTTTTGAAATTGACAGTTCAATCTGCGCTTCCGATTTTCTGTCAATAATGCAATCAAACAGTATCTGCGATTAAGGAAGGAGACTCGGTTGCAGAACCACGTTACAGTACATGGTCAGAGCGTTCAACAGAACCACTCACTACGTCACATTTTTGCGACTTCAGTAGAAAGATTGAGGGATCTCCAGGAGAAATTGAAATCCTCCTGGGCGAGGCATGCTCGCAGGTGCCCAGGGCGCCGCACGGACAAACACTACAGGGTTGCAAGAACGCAAGGGATGAGACCTCCGTCACCCTTCTTTCGACCACATGGTCTAGTCAAGGTCAAAGCAAAATGGACTCGTGACTTACTATGTATGCCATATCTGCTACGCTGCATTGACTTTCTACTGTGACATCTCGGTAAACGGCGGTTCAAGGTCTACCGTTGTGGGAGTTCCGGGTTGGGGGTTGGGTATAGTTACACTCTCTTTTTTGATGCCAGATTAAAGGCATAGAAGTTTAAGTATTGCTAGGTTAGCTCAGTGGCTACATTGGCACCGGTGATTGGGGCATGTGCAGGTTCTCGCTCTCTAAGACAATCAGTAACAGTCATTGTGGCACATTACAAGTAAAAGCTTTATAGCTGCAGAAACTTCCCTAGCACCGATACGCAATGAAAATTTGATGGCTTTACCCTAATCATCCACCTATTAAGCGTGGTATTAGGTCCACCATCGATGCCTATGACTTGAACCCAGTCAAAAAGTTCTTTTACAAAACCACCAATAGAAAAGACGCCGTACAGTAGTTCTATAAATCAAATCATATTCATCCTATTTATTAACACTGATAAAGGCCAATTTATTAATCTGGACATGTAGTTTTAGGTGCTGGCTATGTATCTTGTGAGGCTGTTGGAGGTTTTATATATCTTACTCTGGCATCCATTGCACCTGGCTGAAAAGCAGTCAGCCTTGCAAATACACCAAATTGGTACCTACAGTAGCCAATAAATAAAATAAACAACAGTGTGGTTAGAGAAATGCATTAAAATAAATATTTTACAAGCTCTATCACGCATATTTGTTTAGGGGCGCCAAGACCAGTCACGACTTTGAACTTGTAAACAATCGCCTTTCACTTCCTTTCTACTCACAGCCAAGACACAAATACCCAAACAAAGATTCAATGCAGTTTTACTTCATCCCTAGACTGATGTTAGATATTAAATCTTTCGCAAGCCTCATCCAATCAACATATATGCGCTCCCTACGTGCGATCACCCGTAACGCGTCAGACATCAGCAGCTCAGTCTACTTGATGTAACCCTGCAAATTAAACCACCCGCCTCCTTCTCTGACCGCACTTTCATAAGTCAGTCAGACTTTGGCCGGGCAAACTACGATACTCGCCGGCTCTAGCCTGTGTGACTAGTGCTTACAAGCGTCCAAGCTGATTTCAGCAAACGGTCGCGTTTACATATACGAGCTGACCATACGATCTAACCAATGGCATACGCTAAATCTCGCAATCTGACAGCAAGCCGTGCATATGGACCAGGATTCGCTGAGAACAAGGCCTTGACCACTAAAAAGCAAGACGATGCCAGCTTTGCCCCAGCCGAAGATCCATGTTAGAATCATTTCGACTTTCTTCCTACACCTTCCCGACCTGTTCTGGCTATAAGCTATAACCTAGTCCAGTATGTGGTGGAAATTGCTCGGGCTGTTCGCTATAGGGAGCATAGCTCTCTCAGAGAAAGATCAACTCCCATTTGAGTCTGACAACTTCGATGTCAGCGCCGCCCTTAACGACCTCGGTGTTGGTCTTTCGGAAATTTCAGCACTGAGCATGAAAGAATCGTCAACCAAGGAGCGATGCTCAATTGCCGTGAGTGAAATTGGACCTTACCCAATAATCAACTAACATTGCCCAGTGTGGCAGCTTGATCCATGTACTTGGACTTGGGAAAGTCTCCAGCCAGGATACACTACCATACAAAAACTTCACCGATTCATTTTGGTCGACCCAACAAGGGACAGTCGCACCACGATGCGTGATCCAGCCATCATCAAGCAAGGATGTCAGCATTATCGTGCTACTAGCTCGTCTTACTGACTGCCAATTTGCAGCCAGAAGTGGCGGACATGCAGCTTTTGAGGGTGCTTCGAATATCCCCGGCGGAATCAGCATCTGGTTCAAAGATATGAATGAGATCACACTGAATGAAGACAAGTCAGTGGTTTCTATTGGACCAGGCAATCTTTGGGGCCAAGTGTATGAGAATCTTGAACCTCATGGCTTGGCTGCTGTGGGCGGCCGCGCCTCTAGTATCGGCGTTGGAGGTTTCATTCTCGGAGGTGGAATTTCATTCCACTCCAATCTGTATGGCTGGGCTCTCGATAATGTGCAAAGTTTCGAGGTAAAAACTTGTGATACTAAATGGTGAAGTCCTGCTGACCAACAACCCCTAGGTCGTCACTGCGAGTGGCGCTATTGTCACTGCCAGCGAGACCGAGCATTCTGATTTATACTGGGCCCTCCGAGGAGGCGGCAACAACTTTGGTCTGGTTACCAAGTTTAATCTCTACACGATTCCATACACAATGATGAGAGGGGGAGCTAGATCATTTGTTCAGGACCAGTTCCCAGAAGTCATTAATGCGTTTGTGAATGTTGTCAACGACGCACCAAAAGATGGGAATGCCCAGCAATGGCTGGCTTTCCTAGACTATCAGGGAACGAAAATCGCATCAGCTGAACTGACATATGCTAAAGATGTTGCCGACCCTGACATCTTCAAACAATACAGGGATATCCCTGCTGTCTCGGATACAACGACATCCAAAAGTTTGGTCCAGTATTGCAAGGACGTTGAAGCCAGCAATCAAATTGGCCATCGCGAGGTATATTGGCCAATTGCAACACAGCTAAATGAAGAGTTTGCTCTATGGACGGTTGAGGAGTTTTTCACGGCCTTACCACAAGTCGCGAATGTGACGGGCATACTCCCCGTACTCATCTACCATGCCCTGACAGAGCCAATTTTGAAAAAGATGTCCAAATTCGGCGGAAACGCATTAGGTCTTGATCCTTCCAAGGGCCCAGTCCATTTGCTACAAATCGCTTGCTGGTGGGACGACGAGGCGGACGATGACACGGTCTATCAATTTATCAACAGCTACTGGGAAACCGTGCTTGAGAAAGCGCAGACCATGGGAATTAGCAACGGCTTTATCTACATGAATTATGGAAGTAAATTCCAGGATGTGGTTGCTGGCTACGGAGATGCCAACGCGGCTCGCTTGCGGCACATTGCTTCAAACTATGACCCCAAGCAGATCTACCAGGGCCTTCAACCGGGATATTTCAAACTTGGACATGCTCCCAAAAGCTTTGTAGCCAGGTCTTCTGGTGACACGGAATAGCGATGTGGTCGGAGGGGAGTAGAATAGGCGGACTTAGAATCAATGTGTTTATGTATAGCATTTTTCGCACCGAGTAAAGCCGTTGTATTTTGATACCCTTAGGAGGGAACTTAGGCTCAGGGGGCCTCATTTCGGATTTTGAAAGCAAAGAGAACAATCGATTCGAGTCTGAGATCAACAATAAGGAGGGGCATATAATGCATGAGACGCAATGCGGACCTAGGAGCCAAACAATGCTCATAGTGGCTACAGAGTCAGGTACTCTTCAAGAACTCACCCGGTAAGACAGAAGAAGGGGACAAGCAGGTTGGTTCACTGTGTCCTATGCATGGGAGTTTCTCTCTCTGTAATGTACGCCTGCTGGTTAGGATATGAGAGTACTCAGTGCTATTGAATTATTGTTTCAAGCGCAAAAAGAGCACATCTGAATTGTTCCAGCTTTGCCAGGTCCATTATTGATTGTTACCCTCTTTGATTCAGACAAAGGGATTCTCTACCAGTTTCCCGCTACAATAGCTTTTGTGCTTTTGTCCAAATCTGGCAACTCTAGAAGATAAATGCAGGTCAGTCCCTCATCCCATTTTATCTTTCTCAGGTACCATCTCTATGCTCAAGTCTCCTGAGCTAACCTATATCCATCAACCGAGCCCACCTCCCTCTTCAAGCAGCCCTTAATGACCCCGAATTCTCATCACACATACGATCGTCAACACGCCTACATTCTTGAAGATCCTCACACGAAAATGTGCATGCTGCGCTACAAGTGGTACCGCGGGTCTATCCCCTCTCCCATCAATGAGCACATCCCCGGCTGCGGACACACAGAAGGATGGCGAATCGAACGCTGCGAGGAAGCCCGAGCTCGCTGCAGGGGTGCCTTTTGTGAGGACCCACAACCAGTCCTTCGCCTCGAGGACTCTTACACGATGGGCGATTGTCGTACATGCCAGGGTCTGCGCCCTTTCATCCCCCACGCCCCTCCATTCCTCAACCCGGAGCAGGTCGATGATCCAGCATACCGAGAACAAGAAAATCGACGGAGACAAGAGCAAGAGCGGCGAGAACAAGAACAAGAGCAGAGAGAACAAGAAGACCTACACCAGTATGGACATCAAAGTCAACAAGCACAAGAGATTTATCAACAGGAGATAGATCGATACGAACAAGAAAGGCTACGACAACGATACCAACGACATCGACGATATCAGGAGCAAAATCAAGAATATGCGCGACTGCAACTGCGAGAACAAGCTCTCCTCCTCCGAAGACTGCAACAACAGGACGAAGAGCGGTGATAGAGGGTAGAACAAGCGGAAGAAGAACAAGAGCGATTATGGCAAGTGAGACTCGAATAAGGGAATCAAGAGCGGCTAGGACATGTCAGAAGAGGTTAGAAATGAGGTGCAACTCTACACTTCTCGCACAGGTTTCGACCATGCTTGGTTTGATCTCTTTTCACCCTCATTGACGAAGTCGAATACACTGCTCGAATATGGGAATACGTCTTAGCACAGGTGAACCAGAGTGAAGTGGAGTCCCAATAGCAGAATATCATCTTTATGAAGCAGAACCCTACCCGATTTGTCTATGGCCTTACAGCGAGCAGTTCTTCGTGACCAAGCTTAACGACTAAGTAACCAAGGAGTTTAAGCTCATCTCATTGCAAGACAGTCATGCCACCAATGAACTTCATACCGAGATAGGGTTTGTGAAATATGAAGATGAGCAGTAGTGTGTGTACATGATTTCCGTGCAAGGTGGATTGCAAATTAAGACAGGTGCTAGAGATCTACATGTGTTGTTAAAGATGGACATCTATAGCTAAGCCATAGATTGCGGACATCGATTAATCATCTTTCATTAAAGCTTTTAGAGAAATCCTCACAGCCTAGCCAATTTTTGTGGTAGAATCTCAGACAGTTCTTGGGCCTCGACAGCGATTGGCTGGTCACTCGTTGCTCCTAAGAGATCCAAGACCAAAGATCCCACCAGCGAAAACATCCTAGAGCCCTGCTCTGAGTATGCTGAGTTGCCCGAAAGCAATATGACCGACGAGTCTTTTGGCACGTAGTCGACGAGGGAATGCGAGAGGTTGGTGTACCACGACAGGGGTGTAGCCAGGGAGTCATGCATATGGTCAATTGCAGGCATTGATTGGCTATCTCCAGCTCCAGCCTCAATAATGACTAGAGCCGAGCGATAGAATCGGCCATCCTGTGTGCGAATACCGGCGTTCTTCCTCCCAGTCAATGTGCTCACATATACTATCTCGTCGACCTGTTGTCCCAGAAAGAATTGCACGCCTGCATCTTGGGCTGTGCGATAGACCTATATCCCAGAAATAGAAATTAGCCACTCTTTCCACCGATTTGATTGTTTTTAAGGCCCACTACAATTGACAAGTCTCCCGAAGGGGCATAATTATCTTTTCCGAACACCAAGATGTCAGTGTAGCCTTTTTGGGAGAGATGCAGAGCTGCAGAAAGGCCAAAAGACCCAGCACCGACGATAATAATGGGATCAGATTTGGAAAGCCCCATGGTCGCAAAAGAAAATACAATGAAACGACCAGTATTTGTGGGATGGTGCGCAGTTATAGCCCATGCAACTAATTGCCTAAAATCGTCATCCGTTGCGGGAGTTGGAGATAAACTACAAACGCAGTCATTCCAGTCAAATCTTTCAGATAACATGAGGAGACCGTGAGGGGAACAGTCGATTAGCGCTGATCACCGGCAGGCGGCCCGATCATGTGCTTTTCTCCAATTTTAGTCAAAATTTGACATTGAATCCATTAAATAGCAGCGTGGGGCTTAGTATGCTGTAGATGTCAAATTTTGAACAGAATAGCTCGGTGTTGACCCTTGAACTCATGATCGCAGCATCCGGATCTAGACAATTGACCGCGGAAGCTGTGAGGGAAAGAAGCATGTTGCAATTGGATCTGGGATACTATGAGACCTCATCTGAGGATAAATTGAAGGACACTCCTTCGCATACATTCCTTAAAAGAATCTCATCGCATGATCAAGTGGACAACTATGTTTGCCCAGCTTGATGATTTACTAACAGCACCTCGGGGGGGAAACCGAGGAGGCTAGGCACACTGTGATTGATTCTAGTAGGAACACTACTAGAACCTATCAGATTAATAACCAAGAAATATGCAATTAACCAATGTCGAAAGCCGTTGAGATTCAAAATCATTGCGATCTTAGCGGGGCGTGAACCGATTCTCCACCGGAAGCACTCCCGATGTTCTTCAATGACTAGTTGCTCTTCTACCTCTTCCCTTCCTCATTCTTCATTATATTCAATATTAATTCGATTTATCCCGCTCTGTCACATTATGGCCAACATTCAAAATGGAACCCTTTGCATCCTGGGGTGTGGTATGTGTGCAACTCTCTACACAGAAAATAGCCATTGACGACAATCATAGGAAACCTGGGCATCGCCATCCTAAACGGCCTGATAAATGTACCTGCAGAGAAAACCAGCGAGCTACCCTTCACGCAATACATCGCCTGCGTGCGCAGTGAGTCCTCAGAGAGAAGACTCACCGAGCGATTCGCCCAATCAATGAACAAAATAAGCATCTCTCGCGGCGACAATATACAAGCCGTCCAAAGTGCCGATGTAATCATTCTAGGCGTAGACCCTGCAGACATCCAGACCGTCCTAACCCAGCCCGGCCTCCGCGAAGCATTAACCGACAAGCTCCTCATCAGCATTGCAGCAGGCTGGACCCGGCAAAAACTCGAAGCGACAATCTACGGCAGTGCCACTACCGCCGAAAACACAGCTGGGCGCGCATGGGTAGTGCGCACATTGCCCAACATCGCCGCACAGGTCTCACAATCCCTCACGGCAATCGAAACATCCGAGCCCGCATTGCCCGAGCGATATCTGCAGATCACCACGTCAATCTTTGAACAGATTGGCAAGGCAGTACACATTGACCCGCGATTAATGAATGCCACTACAGCCGTCGGAGGCTCGACACCTGCCTTCTTCGCTGTGATCTGCGATGCGATGATTGATGCTGCAGTTGCGGTCGGGGTTCCACGCGATCTGGCGCACACGATGATCTTCCAGTCCATGCAAGGGACGGCGACTATGCTCCAGAGTGGGATGCATCCTGCCATGCTGAAAGATCAGGGGACTTCCCCGGAGGGATGCACGATTGGCGGGTTGATGGTTATGGAGGAGGCTGGTGTGCGTGGGCATGTTGGACGGGCGCTCAGGGAGGCTGTGACATTGGCGCGGTTGATGGAAACGACGGATCATGTTAATGATACCAGGCATTAAGTTAGACTGGGATGTGATAAAGCATATATGAATAAGATTATACGGTCACGAGAATGGACGCAGACTATCGCTAGCTACCAAGACTGAAACTAATTACCTCCAACAATACCCTTGAAAACATCAAGAGTATGCTGCCAAACCGTTCCCCTCGTTCCGTCTTCACGATATCCATGCAAAATCTTCTGGTCGGCGACAGTCGCCGAATCAGATCCAACCAAGTAAGCCCCAGAGCCCTGCACCCCATCCGAGCCCACCGCAGAATCAGCGCCTCCAACTGTCCCCTTAGGCGTGAAACTAGGACTAGTGGCGGTATAGAGATGCCTCTCTCCACTCTCCCCGAAAGGAACAGTCCACCGCGCAGCAACAGTAAACAACGCATTCATCGCGGTTTTCATGACGAAGTTAGAATCACGCACGAGACTCGTCTTCACAACACCCGGGTAAGTGTGAATGAATGATGTTGACGGGTGCGCGGCAGCAAGCTCTTCCATAGACAGAGATGTCATGGTAATCGCGTGGTTGGCGCAGTTGCGCAGCGAGTAGTTGTCTTTCAACGACAGGTCTTTCAGGATAAGAGGTGCATTGCCTCGTGCATCAAGGACAGAGACTACGCTTGATAGATTTCTCTGAATACCAGCTGCGCCTTCAGTGCTCGTGGCAGCTTTAGTTAGCTGAGGAAGTAAGTTGGACAAGAAGCGCATGCGTGAATAATAATGAAGGCTCAGCTTCTTATCCAAGCCTTCGTCAGTTTCTGCGAAATGTTAGCAGGCTGCGCCAATCAAGGGGATCAGGCCAACAGGGACGGGACATAGGGAATGAAGAAAACCATAACCATACCATCACGCCCCTTCGCAGTGAACATCCCAGCACTCAAAAACAACAAATTAACCTTCTCCTCCTTAGCTTGAATAGCCTTGCAAGCCTCGTCGACCTCATGCAAACGCGAAACATCGCCCTTGACAAAAGTAATCTGGCCATCCGGGTTCGAAGCACGGAGCTCCTCAATAATCTGCGACGCCCGACTCTCACTCCGACCGACGAGATAAACACGCGGAGAGAGAGTCGATCGGACAAAGGCGCGGGCGGTTGTTTCGCCGATGCCGCTGGTGCCGCCGACTGGGGAGGCTGGGTTAGTATGGGGGTTCCGCGGAAATGCGCAAGGGTCTTACCGAAGACTGCTACTAGGTTGGGGCCATACTCCTTTAAAGTGGAGTTGTGCTTTCGTACTGTGTCGATGGAGACCATTTTGATATGTTGATGTTGGTTGAAGACTACGTTCACCGAGGTAAGTAAGCTTACAAGGAGGAGTGTGGGTTAGCGCGATCCGTCTGCGCGGCCCGGGAGTCATGGGGCTATTTACTTCACTTGATGTGCAGAACTCATTACTGGAACAATAGTTCAATAGATGCTATTTCGAAAGCATAACCGGCATTGACTAATAATACCCAGAAAATAGGAGTTCAGTAAGAATTACAGTACTTCAAATCTCTCTCCTTTAATTTCCCTCGGCACCTTCAGCATGGCATAGCTTCTCGCAGTAATAAGTCATCTGTGAACAGAATTAGCAACTTGACTCCCTGCCAATAGATTGAAATTACCTCGTCACCACCAATGTGCCACCCGGCAGAGTTACAGTAGGTGCCATCCTAGAAAGTATTAGCCCTGCCCTCCGTGCTTGATAAGTACCAGATGGATACTTACAAAGGTACAATCAGGGCACTGATCGTATTGCTCATCACCAGTATTGCGCTGCCTGTAAAAGTCGCACGCGCACTTGGTCTCGTCTGGTAGGATCTCATAGTCCTTGGACCATGTCTCGCTGGGACTGAAGGGGGTGCCTCCTACTTCGGAGTATTTTCTGTTGGTGACGCAGACTGCAATATTGTGCAGCTTTGCGAGGGCTCTATATGAGTATGGAGATATGTCAGATATCCTTCATTTTCTGAAGGATTGAGAGGATACATACCCTCCAAGAAGGAATAAGAGGGGGAATGCTGTGGACCGCATGGTTGAACCTTGATGAAAGCACAACTCGTTAGAATGGAAGATGTATATTTCAGAAGATATATGGGATTGTACGGTTATTTAACCCCAGTCTCTCGCTGTTCAAATAGATTGACTTATATACGAGTATGTGATCCACCAGACACCGACTGCAATAGCATCCGTTCCATTAGCAATTTAGCAATTGACTTCCGACTATCTACCGGTAGTGACTTGGTTGCACAGGAAGCTTTTTCATCTTGAAATGTCTCAGAAAAAAATAACCTTTTAAGCCAACCGTTGTCTGATCTGGATCACGAACGGTAGATCAGGGGAAATCTCGGGGAATCATTGCCCAGCTGCAACACCAACGATTTGGCGAAACCTCGGGCAATCAAATGGATCTCTAGCAGGATAATCTATCTCATGAGGGCTAAAACTGAGACATCGTGACAGGGTCATTTCCGCCAAACCGAATTGACCTTAATGAGGTATGAGATCGGCGGCATTGCATGGTTGCTCTCCGCGTTATGGAGAAGTATATCTATCTGGCTTTTGCCAAGAGGAAGATCATCGTAAGGACGTGTTGATTTGACAGGTTCGGAAGAAAGAGGTTTTAGAAATACGATAGAGAACCTTTGGGCCATATGAGACCAGGGGACGATCTTTGACCTGACAACTTGCTTCATTTCTCCTTTTAGTTAATGCTTCGCTTTGAAGAATGGACGATCATTGGAATGTTGAGGCATTTTGTCTCTTTTTGGCTTCCACGGGCTAAGGATCAAAGACATGCACATCGTGCCCGTAAATGGCAGTCGGTCCCTACTCGCAAGATCCACAATCAGACTATAGAACTTCAGAAAGTGAAACTTGTGAGCTCTCTCGGCTCCAGGTGTCGTGATAAGCGATTGTATCTGTTCATTTATAAGGTCACATATCTCCCGAGTATCACGAAGCATAACGGTGTATTCCCATCTTTCGCTGCTTTCGTCTTAGAACCCTCTTTTCCATTTCACTATGCTCCTCGTCCATGCCGTGGCCCTGTTGGCCACAGCTGCCAGTGCAGCACCATTTGCTGAGCGAAGTCTCAACAGCATCAAGTGGACTCCGGACCATGTTCTCCAGCCAGGAGAGGTCATCTTGTTTGGCGAAGGCCGTAGTAAGTATCCAAACTCCGGACCAAAGGTATGAAAGACAGCTAATCTTGACATTAGTGGAGGTTGTTCATGAAAGTGTCTATCATGAGCTTATATCCTCGCAAGCGCTCTCCCATCACCCAGGCGACTTCCACGACGCCGTCGAGACCCCTTCTGCCGGCCGCAACAGCTCCAAACTCCACTCCCGAGACTCATGCGACCTAACCACGGCAGTAGTCACCGACAAAACCCAAACATTCGTCGACTGGGACGTCCAAATGTCCCCCGTTGTAATCGGCACCGGGAATGGAATAGACGTCTCAGTCAGTTCCGGCTACACCGTGGGAAACAGTATCAGCGTGAGTGCCGGATTGGACTTTAATTTGATCAAGGACAAGCTTGGCAGCTCGGTGGGTATTGACTACACTCGCACATGGAGTACACAGACCGTGGTCACCGTCAAGGCAACCGTTGCGAACGGATACTCTGGTGTGATGATTACCAAGCCTATCAAGACACGCAAGTCTGGTCGAGTTCTGAAGGGTTGTCTTGGTTCGCAGACTCAGGAAGGGACATTTTCTGCAGATTCTTATGAGGATGGGTCTTATTCTGGGGTTAAGTGGGTTTCCGGTGCTATCACGATGTGTAGTAAGAAGGAATTTCCTCTGTCTCGATGCTCTGGAAGTGGAAACTTTATCTGAGGTGGAGAGGTGGAGAGTTGGTGACCATTGAGATTGATACTAGTCAGATAGGGTGTTCAAGCAGCAAATCACATGACGTGTCACATGATATCGCCATCCCACTGGTGCCTGAAAGATCAGGCCACATATAACATCATTTCTGCCCCTCGTCCCTCATTTTCCCCCAATTCTGTCTTTTTCTTTTCTCCACTCGAACCAGTCAGGAATACGAAATCCGAACAATATAAATGACTGGAAGCCAATTACCGATAGTCTTAGCCTATCATATGATTTTATCTTATTAAGCCTTTAAGGCCAGACCGATAACCGTAATCAACGGTTCTCGACGGTCTTTCTTGCTAATCCACACGGTTCGGTATCTTTCTACTTCGGATCACCTCATGGCCAATGCCTGGCGGTTCCTGTCCCACTCATTCCCGATGGGCCGATATGTGTAAGCGGTGTGGTCTTAAATACTTCTTCGCATCCAAAACTTAACTTCTTCAATCCATCTATCTCTCTATCTCTCTATCTCTACTATCTTCTCTCTCTCTCTTCGTAAATTTTACTTTCAACCGTCAAAATGACTAAGGGTTTCAACGCTGGTGACGCCTTCCCCGAGAACGTCGTGTTCTCGTGAGTATTGCCCCTCAATGCCGTCTATCTCTGTCAATACTAACAACAATAGTTACATCCCCTGGTCCGAGGAGGCCGGCGAGATCACCTCTTGCGGTATCCCCATCAACTACAACGCCTCCAAGGAGTTCGCCAACAAGAAGGTCATCCTCTTCGCTCTGCCCGGTACGTGACCGCTCTTTTGAAAGTTCTCTTTTTGCCTCCTGCACCCCGTCTGCAAGGTTCTCACGCTGACCGCCACCCTCCAACAGGTGCCTTCACTCCCGTCTGCTCCGCCAACCACGTCCCCGAGTACATCCAGAAGCTCCCCCAGCTCCGCGAGAAGGGTGTCGACCAGGTTGCCGTCCTCGCCTACAACGATGCCTACGTCATGAGCGCCTGGGGCAAGGCCAACGGTGTTACCGGCGATGACATTGTACGTTCACCTATATTTCCCTGATCTCAATCCTTCGCTGGAGATATCCAATTGGACTCGACTAACACTCTCCAGCTCTTCCTCTCCGACCCCGAGGCCAAGTTCTCCAAGTCCATCGGCTGGGCCGACGAGGAGGGTCGCACCTACCGCTACGTGATCATCATCGACCACGGCAAGGTCACCTACGCCGCCAAGGAGTCTGCCAAGAACACCCTGGAGGTCTCCAGCGCCGACGCTGTCTACAAGCAGCTGTAAATGCTTCCCAGTTTCGATTCTGACTGGTATAGAATGGCTGCAAGGTAGAACATGGGTTGATGGGAGTACGCATGTATTCCCTGCTTTTTTTAGCGCTTTAGAATAGATCACCCTGTTACTTCTGTTGGCTATGGCTTAGAGTGAATACAATTAATGAAGCTACGAGTTCATTTTTCCATCTTACCATTTTCCTACAGTACAGCATATGCAATGTCGTGTATGCGTAACCGGGCTAAGCCCAAGTCTGTGTGATAAGCCTGTGTGATTGGTTACTATTAGTGTTGGAGGCCAGTGCTCTGTCCGGGGATGCGTAGATCGACAAAGTTCGGCCGAGACCCGCCGATTTCTCTACACCGACTATACCCCTGCAATAATCGTACATAGTGGTATCAAAAACAAAAGGTATAACCCAACGCCAAGCCCAAAATCAAGAACGCTTCACATTCGGAGCCATGGCAACAGCCTTATTCTTCTTGCGCTCCTCCTTAGTCCGCAATCCGCGACTCAAACCGCCCCCAAGACCCCGCGCCAGCGAAGCAAAAGGCGAAGTCTCCTGCCACAGATCCAACTCGTCTTCAAGCTGACCAGTTCCAGCCCGAGACTTGAGCAGCTCTCTCCTGGGCGGGTCAGCAAAAGCAGGCTCAGATTGCCGACGACGAGAATGTTTCTGATGAGCATGCCCACTAGGCGATGCATTATCCCCGGGATGAAGATTAGGATTGGGAGAGGGTGAAGGTGTTTCCCACGAAGGCATGGGGACATTGACGACCATATGCTCAGAGCATTGGCAGCCACATCCTGTTGGACAAGACGGGAGAGATTTAAGGTCTTGATTAGATGAACCGTCGAATTTATCGCCTGGTCGGAGGAACCATTCTTGGTGGCAGTCGAAGCAGCTGACATGCCCGCAACCGAGACAGGGTATTAGCATACCGTCTACAACCTCGCGACAAATAACACAGGGTAATTTGGTAGGTAGAGGCTGGCGCGGTTTGCAATTCGGGCATCGCTGAGCAGATGATTTGCGCTGGCGTTTGGAAGGGGTGTCAGGGGCCATGGGGTGTTTATTAAAAATGGAAATCCGGAGCGCATGACCGCAGCTAGTGCAATGGCGCTGGAAATCGAGGGTTTGGGTAATTGGACCCGGCGGGTCTTGCAATGACGTTTCGGTCTCGGTAGTGCTATTCCAGTAATGGCTGGCGTTCATGTCGTCTGCTCGTTCGGTCACTGTTCCGATCTTCATGACTTCGCTTTGTTGGACTGGTAGGTCCCAGATTGAGAGCAGGTCGGCGTATGCGGCGCGGTATGCCCGGTAGAGGGGCTCTTTCTTTTCGTCGAGAAGTGCGTCTTGTGTTGATCCGTCGCTTTCGAATGCGCTTTGGTTTTTCATAGTGACCTTGAATCTTGCCGGTGGGTTGTGATTAAGCGGTTCGTCGCTTTCATTGTCTGACTGGACCTCCGACTGTATGGCGATGGTTAGAATGGGCAAATATTGGAAGATGAATCTGACAGCAAGGAAGTACTTACGACTTGTCCTGTTGTCGCCACACTCGGACTTTCCTGGGGAGTTGGTTTCTTCTTGTCCAGTCTGCTCGTCGGTGGGGATGCGGATGATGGTCCAAAGGTGAAGGAGCGAGACAATGACGATGCCAGCACCGATCCAAATCCGGATCCGCTCCGTGGCTGCGATTGCTGATCAGGTGATGCAGCAATGGACATATTCTGACTCAAGGGCTTCCTGTCAGCGGCAATGCCGCGAGGGCGGGACATGAATGGAGGCGTGGTGCCCGTTGAATGTGGTGGTGTGGAGTCAAGACGCCGTATTTCACCAGAAGAACGTGCCGATGTCTGGGAAACAGACATGGCCTGGACATCTTTTGGAACAGATGAAGCAGGTGTCACAGCTGGCAGCTTTGGTTGAACCGTCGATGCGACAGAAAAATCCAATGAGAAAGCCTGCTGTCCGGGTTTCTTATTTTGCTTTTCCAAATTGCCTTCTTGGTTTGCTTCGAGCAACACACAGGAGAGCATCGCCACCATCTGCACGTCGCCGATGCGCTCGAAATGCTCGAAGAGAGCAGGGACAAGCCAGTGGCTGCCAAGGGGGTGATCTCCCCAGCGAATGATACTACCAGTCAAGTCTATATAGAGACCATCTTTTCCGATACCACCTAGCCCACTCCCTTTGCTCTGCATACGCCGTTGCAACAACCCCGACTCAGGCAAAGAGCCAGGGTACTTTCGAACATGCAGGATCAACTTGATCAAACCCCAGATCTGGGCCAATTCATAGCAGCCAGCGTCAAGGGCGACAGCCGCATTGTGGGCACATACCTCTGGTCCCTTCCCACAAATGCTATATTGACTAGCCAACTCCCGCTTGACTGGTAACAGATCACTCAAGTCATGGATAGATATGATATTCTGAGGCGCGTCTGATTTGACTGTCGCTCCACCTCCGGTTGATCGCTGCGAGTTATCTGTTGATCGTGGCCGATGCATGCCGTAGCTGCCAGCACTGCGCCATGTCTGGGGTGCCGGGAAACGTGTTGGCAACCCTGAAAGCATATCAGACGAGCCTGACGAGCTTGATGTCTCGGAGTATGAATCTTCCGAGTCGGATGATGCACCATCATCTGTGCTAGCTATTGTGCCCATTCCACCACGTGGGCCGGGAGAGTGGGTTTGTAGACGGCCGAAATTTTCGAAAACCTTGTCCCCGCGAGACCACCTGCTCATCTCTTTGAAGCCCATGGTCTCGAAGAGCTCCGACGATTTATCCTTCTTCGGTGGGAAGAAGCACACAAGCCGGCCATCGTTTGCCCACAGCGCACCGCAGGCTTTGGCTACAGGGACCATGACATTAGCATTAACGGGGCGAAGAAGCTCTGAGCTCATGCCCAGCTCTTGGCTTTGGGTCATGCCGACTTCATCCTCGTCACTAGATTCGCCTTCCAATTCACCATTGACAGGAGACTTGACGTTGTCGCCCGTTTCACCAAGGATCCACGCAATGCTTTCCTCCAGGCTGCTCTCGCCCAGAAGATAACGCACTGTGCCTTCCAGGCACCCTCGGCTCCGGGACATGTAGGTCTCAGCGATTGTTCGCAATTCAGCAGTCATTTTTGCAGCCCATGCATCGGTGACGGCCGCTGTCTTTTGGAGCGCAAATGTCGGGATGGCAGACTTTGGATAGCTAACCGGAAACTTGATATCCACTTTCAAGAACAAAGAGGCGCCGTCAGCGCCCCAAGGCCCATTGAGAGAAATTGTAATCTTTCGTTGTCTGACATCAACCGAGTCGAATGCCACCTTGGTGAACTTTTCACCTACGTGGCTGATTTCGTCTCCTAGTGTCTCAATATCCCACCCCGAGATCTTGACACCACGCATCCAAGCAATTGGATTGGTATCAGCTCTCAAATTTGATCTGGGCAGCATGCCAACTCGATCAACTTGACCTCCTTTGATCCAACCACGGGAGTGGGGAACTGATATAGCGTTCATTCCAGAACTTGTCGATTGATTCTGATTCTGGGCTCCAATCGAGGAAGCTGTGTCAATATCGTCGAATTCCAATTCTGAATTCACATCACGAAAACTGCGATATACGGCACCGAGTCGTGTGACTGTCCGAGTCGAAATAAAGGACTTTCCCTTTTCGTAGCCCACGCGCTGTAGGATTTCAGGGTCAACTCTGTGTAACCGAAGCTCCCTGTCTGTTCCCCACGTCACAAGTTGGAAGTCACGGTGGTCAATACCATCTACCACCCCTCCACGCGGTCTCCAGAGGAACTCTTTAACTTGTCCCTTGTGTCCGGGGAAGCTATACGCTAGAGGTAGGTCAGCCTCTCGATTTGAACCATCCTCAGCTCGCCGACTATAAAGATGTAGATCATTATTGCCTCTCTGCGGCATTGCAAGTACACCCCATCCGAATGGCGTATTTCGTGCACGCCATACGGGGAATGAAGTATGAATCTGCTTCTCGGGAACATCTGATTCGGAAGTGTAATCCCAGAACTTGATAGTCTTATCAAGGGAGCATGTCACTAGCGCGCCACGCCGGACACGATTCCAATCGACTCCGTAAATCTTAGTGTTATGAGCTTCAATGGATTTGATTGGGTACGCGCCCATGCGGTCATCCCAGATCCGAAGAAACCGGTCATGGGAACTTGCAATAACATGAGGGTCCTGTCGGTTCCATTTGACCTGGGTTGCACCAGTAAACCAATCGGAGAAAGAGATGGCGGGACGCGCAGGACTGCGCAAATCCCAGCAGTGGACGAAGCTGTCCACGGCACAAGTCGCGAGAAGATCCGGATGAAAAGCTGAGAAGTTTATATCGGTGATAGCGCGCGAGTGGGCGTGGAGTACAATCTCAATGGAGTTCTGCCACGTCTTCATTGCCAAGTTCCAGACCAAGGCCTTCTGATTGGAGGTACTAACAACCCACTGGTCGCGTGCTGCAAATGGCGACCATTGCACATCGGCCACTTCCCATGGTGTGTGGTGAGGGAGATGTCGTGGCGGAGAATAAGGTGAGTCCAGGTCAATGACATGTAGACCCTCCTTGGATGCTAGGACGACGTCTCTGCCACAAGGGGATATTGACATTGCCCCCACGGGCTGCTCTACATGGAACGAGCTGTCCTCATCGAATGTCGGGCTCTCAAAGGCCGACGTGAGGGGCTTCGGTTCCATTGAGCTCGACATCTTGGACTGAGATGCCCGTTGGGCTCAATCTGGTCGCGTTGGGTGGCGACGCACGAAGTGTAAACTCGCTATACGTAGAAGCCAAGAGCATCAGGAGGAATGTTGTTCATTGTCTTTGTAAACAACATCCCCTATACAGGAGTCATTGTGGGATACAAGTCAAGCATCGAATGATAAAGATGTGGAGATGTGGCTGGTGCTGTGGCGTACACGTGACCTGTACGGAACGCGAGGCAACCCCGCGATGCAGCCCCTCGGCCGGTTACGTCGCTGCGTTCTGGAATCTTTTATTTGTTGATTCTTCTGGACATTCTTCTTTTCAGTCGCTGAGCTTGATCTTGTGGTCTGTTATACAACCAACAGAGCGCAACTTTTTAGACTAAATTAGGAACACCATCCTTCAAAGACACCAGATCTACACAGGACTCGAACCGGTTCGCCATGGCTTTGCCCAAGAGAATTATCAAGGAGACAGAGCGCCTGATGGCTGAGCCGTAAGTCATCGCAGATTGCATCTACGCTCGTTCAAATGCTAATATCCGGGTGCTTGCTGCAGCGTTCCTGGCATCAACGCTGTCCCTCACGAAGATAACCTACGTTACTTTGACGTCTCTATTCACGGTCCCGCGCAGTCTCCATATGAAGGTATGCGCGCGTAATCCCAATATCTTCACGTCAATTGAAGGCTAATGTGCCTTCCCCAGGTGGCATCTTCCGCCTCGAGCTCTTCCTGCCCGACGACTATCCTATGACTCCTCCCAAAATCCGCTTCTTGACCAAGATCTACCACCCCAACATTGACCGCCTGGGTCGCATTTGCCTGGATGTCTTGAAGAGTAAGTGAAACGACCTTAGTTGTCATACAGTATTCTGACTTTGGTGCAGACAACTGGTCCCCAGCCCTCCAGATCCGCACGATCCTCCTGTCGATCCAGGCCTTGCTCGGCGCCCCCAACCCCGATGATCCCCTTGACAACAATGTTGCCCAGCGGTGGAAGGACGATGAGCCCGCTGCGATTCAAACGGCACGGGAATGGACTCGGACTCATGCTATGGCCTAAATGCGATGAAGTATAATGTGACCATGAAGTGCAGGACTTTCTATTCGTGAGAGCAGGCATTGAATGCCGAGCGTTTGTTAAGCGGGCAAGTATGTTATTTAGAGCAGGGGACAGTCTGCTCTTTGCATTGTCCTCATTTTAGTTATCTGGGTGCTTCCAGAAGGCGTTGCATAGAATCAAGATCCTTGTTTTCTGCATAGATATTCTTTTATCTGGTGATGAGTCTTAAGGCATTTATAGAGGACTGCTGCAAGTATCTGCAGTCCAGATTCAAAGGAAAGTCAATTTCCTGAAGTGCCGGTGGTCTTCAGTGGAAGAATGTGATGAATGGGTAAATCAACATATGGCCACATTGATATGATATGGCAATATTGTAAAATCCCATAAATAAATCAATATTGATCATACAATCGAGATAATCCTGAAATTAAGCAAACTAATACTACTCCCGTGGACATTTATACAATTGTCAGAGTGGTCATGTGACTCTTATCGATAACCCAGGGCAGCCGAGATCACGTGTCGCACATTAGCGAGTGCCCGCACCACAATTGGGTCAGCAAGCATCATCGCGATCCCCGATTTTCGACAACCACTCAACGACAAACCCGTCAGCGCATCTCCATCCGTCAAGATGCGTACCTACGACGACTCCTTCTCCGGCCAGAAGATCTACCCTGGCAAGGTGCGTTTTTTGTCACCCCGTCGCTTTGTGGAGGAATTGTGTGCGACCGAAGAACGACCCGGATTCAACATTGGGCTTTGGATTTTCGATATTGCAGTCGCTCTCCGTTGGGTCGAATCGCCGCACACATTTTTCCCGCCTGGTTGCTGTTCATCAGAGGCTAATATTCGATGTGTTTTAGGGTAAGCTGTTCATCCGTGGTGACAGCAAGATCTTCCGTTTCCAGAACGGAAAGTCCGAGTCTCTGTTCCTCCAGCGCAAGAACCCCCGCCGCATCGCATGGACTGTTCTCTTCCGTCGCCAGCACCGCAAGGGTATCTCTGAGGTCGGTCGTCCCTCCCTTTGGATTTTGATTTTTGGATTGTTGGATTGTGTGGATGTGGTGGAATACGGTCGGCTCGGCTGAGACGGAGCAAGAGGAGGAATCACCATGTCGCCACACAATCATGATTGGAACGGAATGATGGATGCGACAGATTACTGACCTGTCTACACTATATAGGAGGTTGCCAAGAAGCGTACCCGCCGTGTTGTCAAGAACCAGCGTGCCATCGTTGGTGCTTCCCTCGACGTGATCAAGGAGCGCCGCTCCCAGCGCCCCGAGGCCCGTGAGGCCGCTCGCAAGCAGGCCATCAAGGAGGCCAAGGAGAAGAAGGCCGCTTCCGCCAGCGCCAAGAAGGCCGAGAAGGCCAAGGCCGCCGCCTCCAAGGGTGGTGCCCAGCGCATCCAGAGCAAGCAGGGTGCTAAGGGCTCTGCCCCCAAGGTCGCCGCCAAGTCCCGCTAAATTTCGAAATAGAAATGGTTGGGAATGGAGGTGTTCGGAATGGAGCAGCGCTGAGCTGACGGTTGCGATATGATGGAACTTGCGGGCACCGGAGCTGGAGTACTGTCTGTGAGATACCTTGTTTCTGGAAACAGTTTTATGCAATACAATGCAATGCAGAAAATGGGAACAAAGGAACAAAAATATGAATCCCCATGCGAGTATCAAATGAACTCTGCGTCTCTTCGGCAATGAATCGTTTCCTGCTTCTGGGTCATGTCCAGTATGGATGTGTTCCAGGATTGCCATGTAGTTCAAATTTCGGCTTTCGCGCCGTACTTGAATATTATGTTTTCTCTGTTAAGTTTGCAGTACGAGTACATCTATACGAAATCATCTCGCACAAGTAGTATATTAAACACGAGTAGTTTATAGAGTCTCATTCATGCAATCTATAACTAGACCATCCAAGTCTCGTCTCCTCCATACATCTCCAACTGAAAGCTTTTCGTACAAAATACATGGTTTACAGTTTGAAAGAGGGGTACTCGCAGTAACAGACGCACCGTCATGACCAAGGCATCAGATCAAGCGCTATCGAGTTTTTCCCCGCTCGCCATACTCCTACGCAGGAGGTTCGAACAAAGCGAGCGATGCGAAATCGTATAGTGCTCGTTCAGTCAACGACAGGTCAACATGCAAGTCGAATTGCAGGATCAGATATAGTCCCATGTCTAGGGCATGCAACCAAAGCATGATTTTAACGCAAGTTTATCATGTATAATGCGCCCTGCAACAAGCCCAGCCGGGCAAATCGAACCGGATGCCCCAAACGCCAGATCAAAACCCAGAGTAAACCGGGTTGAAAAAATCACAATTCAAGATTGCACAATCGCTCAGTAATAGTGGGCCATTTCCAAACCAGCGCGCTTGAAACCACACTTAACGTAGAAACCCTCGTTGGCCTCGGAGCAGTCAAGGATGCTCTGCAAAGCAGTTAGCAGGACCACAACACAGAGCGTAAAAAGAAAAGAAAAACATACCTTGTAACAACCAACATTAGCAGCAACAAAATCCAACGCCTGAATAATCCTCAAACCAAGCTTCATCCCCTGCTGCCCCTTTTCAACAGCAATATCCTCAATATGCCCGACCATACCGAGCTCATGAATAAACTTTCGCTCAACAATCAAACTGCCGGTACCGACAATCCGGTCCGCACCATCACAGACAACAAGCATGTAATACTCATCATTGCGCGAGGTGATCCAGTCATAGCGCTTGTTCCAGGCTTCCTCGCTGATGTCGCCGACGGTAGTCAGGACGCGCAGCACGTCCAGGTAGCCGCGGCTGTAGTCTGAGCGGCGAAGGGGGCGGATGGTGTAGTTTTCTGGGAGGACGGAGATTACTTCTGGAGAGATGAGGGTTGAGGGGAAGAGAGGGCCGTCGGATGGGGGACTGTTGGGTTCGATTTGGGTGATTGTTGGGTTCATGGTTTTGGTTTCGTGGAGAGTTGCGATGGGGGTGGTCATTTTCGTGGTGGTGTTGTGTTGGTCAACGGTAGTCTTGGAGGTTGTGAAGGATTGGGTGAGTGTGTTTATTAGGTGATAATGAGGTAGTTGAGATTGAATTGAAGAGAGTTGAAACGAGTGAAAAGAGGAAGGAGAAATAAGTTTGACCTTGGGAGATACTTGAAGGATTCCAGGTACAAAGTGAAACACGGCCCCAGGGGTTCTATTAATACTCCAGTGGATTCTTCACTTTCCATACACTTCACTAGTCTGCATGTTGGAATTTTTCTTATTTCGCCATCTCCGTCTTATTGTCTGTTAATTGTCGATTTTAAATGGCAATTGACTGATTTACACTCGGCTCGTTCTGCCTTTCGAAAATACTATTTATAACTCGCCTAAATATCCAGGCTCTAACATAACGTTTTAACTTACAAGTACATCTACATGGTCCACTCGAAATGTTCAGATCAAACATGAAATTCTTACATATCCTAGTCTATAATGGCACAGGAACAGCAGTGCTGTTCATTTACTTCAACTCCTTAGGAGCAAGCATCAGCTCAGGGCGAACGTACTTGTCGAACTCCTCGGAGCTGAGAGCCTTGAGCTCCATGGCACTCTCCTTGAGAGTGGTGCCCTTCTTGTGGGCGTTCTTGGCCACCTTGGAGGCCATGTCGTAGCCAATGACGGGGTTCAGGCAGGTCACAAGCATCAGACTGTCAAAGCGTTAGAATTTGCCACCAAAAGCAAGGGGGAAAGTACATACCTCTCGTGGAGAAGGGAGTTGATGCGGGACTCGTTGGCCTCGAGACCCTCAACCAGGTGGGAACGGAAGCTGTTCATGCCGTCGGAGAGAATGCGCACGCTGTGGAGCAGGTTGGCGATCATCACGGGCTTGAAGACGTTCAGCTCGAACTGGCCGTTCATGCCGCCGACGGTGGCAGCGACGTGGTTACCCATAACCTGGGCGCAGACCATGGTGAGGGACTCGCACTGGGTGGGGTTGACCTTGCCGGGCATGATGGAGCTACCGGGCTCGTTCTCGGGGAGGATCAACTCGCCGAGACCGCAGCGGGGACCGGAACCGAGGTACCGCACATCCTGGGCGATCTTGAACAGGGAGCAGGCGAGGGTGTTGAGGGAGCCGGAGGCCTCGACGATGGAGTCGTGGGCGGCGAGAACCTCGAACTTGTTGGGGGCGGTCTTGAACTCGGTGCCGGTCAGCTTGCTGATCTCGGCGGCGACGGCCTCGTCAAAGCCCTTGAAGGTGTTCAGACCAGTGCCGACGGCGGTACCACCCTGAGCGAGGAAGCGCAGGTGGGGGAGAGAGGCCTGGACACGCTCGATGTTGCGGTCGAGCTGGGCGACATAGCCGGAGAACTCCTGGCCGAGGGTGAGAGGAGTGGCGTCCTGCAGGTGAGTACGACCAATCTTGATCAGGTGCTCGAACTTCTCGACCTTGGCCTGGAGGGCGTCACGAAGACCCTTGAGCGAAGGCAGGAGGGTCTGCTCCAGCTCGACAACGGCAGCAATGTGCATGACGGTGGGGAAGGAGTCGTTGGAAGAGGCGGACATGTTGACGTGGTCATTGGGGTGGACGGGCTTCTTGGAGCCCATGGTGCCACCGAGGATTTCAATGGCACGGTTGGAGATGACCTCGTTGGAGTTCATGTTGGACTGGGTGCCGGAGCCGGTCTGCCAGACAACCAGAGGGAAGTGGTCCAGCAGCTTACCCTCGGCGACCTCAGCGGCGGCCTGCTTGATGGCCTCACCGATCTTAGGGTCTTAGACGAGTCAATAATCTGATACCGAAATTTGTGCCAGAGCGTTACATACCAAGGCCGTACTTCATGTTGACTTCGGCGGCAGCACCCTTGAGGATACCGAAAGCCTTGATCACGGGGGCGGGCATACGGTCCTGGGGCTGGTTGATGTCGAAGTTGCCCAGGGAGCTGTATCCATCAGCGATCCTGTTCTCTCTGTTCTCTGTGGTATCGATTCGACGGGCTTACCGCTGGGTCTGCGCACCCCAGTACTTGTCACCAGGGACCTATTCAGAGCCTCGTTAGCTATTGTAACCCCAACCCCATACGTCATGGTCACTCACCTGGATTTCACCAAAGGCATCGCTCTCGGTACGGGCGTCAACGGACTAGAAGCCATCAGTTGTCTGTGTCTGTGTTCCACGGAGCTCTCTCGGCGCATACCATTCTGGCGGTGGTTCCAAAGGCACGCTTGTTGAGGGTCTGAAGGCGGGGGAAAGCGAATTGACGGGTATTGGAGCTCAGAGACCGAGTAGCCGGACGAGCGATTGACAGAAGGTTGCGGGCTGCGGGGGTGGCTCTGGTCGCATGTGTTAGGGTGGCCATAGAGCGCACCGCGGCTCGGGAGGTAGAGGGATTCATTATGCTAAACAAGACAAAAATAGGATCAATGGCTCGCGCTGAGCTTGAGAAGTAGGGACCGGAGACTCGAGTGGCCTTAAGAAGCAAAAATGAGGATTAATCGACGAGTCGCCGGCTTCCCCCAACCGAAACTTCCCGGTATCGGCAAAACACAAAATAACACGAATTCTCGGCAGTTGAAGTGGTATTGTTCGCTAACTACGGTATTGTAATTACTGGCTGAACACTCATCCCTTGAGTTGTCGCTTCATCGTCTCAACCACTTTCGCGTTGTAGCGTCGACCTCCTTCCAAAACGCCATCCATGGCAGCCACCAGGTGCGGTGCACCCGGGATTCGATCTACCTCCACGTATACTCCAGCAGCTTGAAGTTTAGCCGCATACGCTTCTCCTTCGTCGCGCAGAGGATCCAGCTCCGCGGTAGACACCAACGCAGGAGCCAAGTTCTGAAAGTTGGGAGCGAGGATCGGCGATATTTTCCAGTCCTAGAGGGATTAGCATACAATTGGCAATTATGGAGGACGGACTCACTTCATCAGACTCAGCCGGTCGAGGCACTCCCAGGAACTGTCGGTGGAAGTATGCCATACGCGCTGCAGGTAGTGCTGGTGCAAATTCCATCTCCCGGTATGACTCGTAGGGACAGTTCTCTCGGTCAAATTTCCCTTCAGGCGTGAAGACACTGTGCAAGTCCGTCGCTGGTACAGTCAAGATCTGCAATCGCAGAGGAATGTTTTGATCGCGACAGAGATGACTGATGACGGCTGAGAGATGACCTCCTGCTGACACGCCGCCCACCGCGAATCGATCCAGGTCAAGATTGAACTCTGTTGCTTTGGAACGGACCTAGATCTCGTTAGTTCTGTTCACTATTCGCGACGGTTCTGAGGTTATACCCAATTGAAAGCAGACCAGCAATCATTTACAGGAATCGGATATTTATGCTCAGGTGCCAGTCGATAGTCAACATCAAAAGCAACCAAGTCCCCCTCAAGGCCGTGGACGACTCGCTTGCAAAAGTCATGATCGTAGTTTAGTCCACCAAACACCCAACCACCTCCATGGAAGTTGATATAAGCCGCTCTCTTCTTCGGATTGCCCTGCTCGTCCAGCTCGAGTTCTGGCTCAAAGATCCGAATGGTAATCTCCCCGCCATCGACTGGACACTTCTGTTCAGTGATGCGGAAGATGTCCGGACCCCGAGCACGTCCATAGGAAATGGTGTATCGGCCTGGGTTCTTGCGGAACTCTTCTATCGGGACCTCGTGTGTATGGAGTCGCCCGGCATTGTACTTGTTGTAGTACTCTACGTAGACTGGGTCATATCGAGGGAGTAGCTCTGGTGGGATACTGTTGTGAAGGGGTTGGGTTATCATTGAAACATGGAATGCGTGTAATGCTGGATCACCAGTGGCTGCAGGCTTGGAGGTCATTGCGAATCGGGTTTGTTACGATATGACAGGGCTGTGTATGTGGCTGGAAGGTGAACGATGCTTGTTTTCGGGGAAAATCAACGTCTCGCGCGGGGTACAAGTTGTCAAAAGCACATTGTGCCTGGATGTAACAGTCATAGGTCGATCTCATGCATGAAATGTCAGCATTAGTATCCCTGCACCTAGCGTTGAGGGGCTTTCGGCAACAACAGTATACCGATAACAACATTTTAAGAGACATCCAACTATAATAAAGTACATAATCATGACGGTAATGAGGATGTGAATCGACATATAGTTCATAAAAAACATGATTGGTGGTGGAAATAATCTAAAGCGCCTGCACATATATGTCATGCCAAACTATATAATCGTGCACTACAGAGTCTACGATCCGCCACTGCATCTCCCAACTGCAACTCCCCACCAACTATTGAAAAACGAATGCAAAGCCCCTTGGGTCAATATTAATGCAACTAGATCCATATTTACGTATTCACCCATCAAAGAAGGGCTGTTTACTCAAAGGGAAGTCAGCAGACGCCACGTCCAGGTGACCGCTAGGGTAAAGTTTCCAAGGTTAGCAGCAAAGCTAGGATCCAAAGTTGCGATCTACTCGATTCTGCTCAAGGATATCCACGGCTATCTACCTCCAAGCAAGGAGTGTATGATGCTTTGCTCTTCACGAACCGCTACTAAGCGGGACTTCCCGCGGGGCAAAAAAAAAAAAAGAATGGCGATATCGGGTTGACTCAGCGATCATCGATCGTGTTATTTGATCGACGCTCGTTCCACACAACTTGCTCAGATCAATTGAATACTCAGTCAATCGCACATACATAACCATGGCCAACGTTAACACCCGCCTCAATGTGGCCCCGGTCCCACCAGACGAGATCTTTGCTTTGAACGGTGCCTATGCCGTCGACACCTTCCCGCACAAGGTTAGCCTGGGTGTGGGTGTCTACCGGACCGACGATGGCAAGCCATGGCCCCTGCCTGTCGTGCAAAAGGCCGAGAAGCAACTGGTAGTAGACAACGACCTCTTCCGCCACGAGTACACAGCTATCGAGGGTGACGTGCCCTTCCTCGGAATCGCACGGGACCTGATGTTCGGATTCGAGGGCAAACAGACCGAAGAAGAGGCCAAGGCACGCATTGGATCCGTACAGACTGTCGCCGGCACTGGTGCCAACCACCTGGGAGCCATATTCCTCGCCCACCACATGAAGCCTCGCAGCGTCTGGCTGTCGAACCCCTCCTGGGCCAACCACCAGACCATATGGGAGCTGGCTGGTGTGCCCCGCAAGACCTACCCTTACTACCATGCCGCAACCCGGTCCTTCGACTTCGAGGGCATGATGTCGACCCTCGAGAATGATGCGCAAGAGGGCGACGCCGTGCTGCTGCACGCCTGTGCGCACAATCCCACCGGCCTGGATCCCAACAAGGAGCAGTGGATGGCCATTGCCGACCTCTGCGAGCGCAAGAACCTCTTCCCCTTCTTCGACTCGGCCTACCAGGGCTTCGCCTCAGGCTCCGTCGAGGAGGACGCCTGGGCCGTCCGCTACTTCTTCAACCACAAGCCCGACATGGAGATGTGCGTTGCACAGAGTTTCTCCAAGAACTTCGGTCTGTACGGCCAGCGTGTCGGTGCGTTCCACTACGTCACCAACCGCAGCTCGACCTCCATCCGCGACATCGTGGTGAACAACCTCTGCCATTTGATCCGTGGCGAGTTCTCCATGGGACCTCGTGTTGGCTGCAGCATCGTCAAGAAGGTCCTCACCAGCGACGAGCTCACTGCCGACTGGCACCAGGACTTGCAAGTCATGAGCTCCCGCATTAAGGCTATGCGCCAGGCTCTGTACAATGAGCTGGTCCGCCTGCAGACCCCCGGCACCTGGGAGCACATTATCCAGCAGGTAAGTTGCCAACAAGACTATCTTACAGCTGTAATTTATACTAATAATCCATAGAACGGCATGTTCTCCTACACCGGCCTCTCCCCCAAGCAGGTCTACGCCCTGAAGGACAAGTACCATATCTATCTACTCAAGTCCGGCCGAGCCTCCATCAGCGGCTGTAAGAAACCCCGAATCCATACATCCAGAATACGAGCTGACATAGAATACAGTGAGCGAGAAGAACGTCGCATACGTCGCACGGGCAATTGACGATGTCATCCGGACCGAGAACTAAATCATTTGAAACGGGTCCGAGCTGGACGAATTTTGATTTTCATTGCGGTTGCATGTCCTGAGAGGATATTGAATATCTCTCAAAAGTCAAGTTTATTTTCAGACTTTGCATCTGGCGGGCCATGTTCTGACTTTTACGACATTTCATGATAGAATTTACATCTAGAGAATCATTGCCAGTTTCGGTATTTCGTCTATTCATCCTACCCTATATTAGATCTAAACGGAATGAGTTAAAAAGGCTATTAGATGAACGAGTTAAGGCTGCATTAGGAAAACTATCTACTGTACATACAACGGCAAACTGAACAATAAAAACGGAAAGATCAGTGGGGGCACATTCGTAAGAGACCTTGTCTACCTAGGTATAGAGGCGCGTCGCCAAACACAACAATGTAAAACTGTACTGAAATAGTTCGTAGACGCCGCTCGACAAGAGAACAGATATAGGGCAAGGGTAGAGGAGTCAAGGGGTTGACGGGGCAAGGAACAAGCGGAAAGGAGAATCATCAGAGAGGGACTTCGTTGAAGTCACCCTCACCCTCCTTCCCTTTGCTCTTTGCAGTGCCAGAACTTGCAGCCTCGGAATCATCTTCGGGTCTGTTCTGTGGCAGAGTGGCACCTTTGTCTGATTCTCCGTTGCTCTCCTCCGCCTCGACTTCAGATTCAGGCCCATCGATCTTCATCTCTGGCACAGACACGGGTTCTGTGTCTCCATTCTGAACCGTCTCATTTGTATCCTCTCCCTCATCTTTTGGCGGGGGCGGGGGAGGCGGGGCGTCATCTTCATCCGCCGATCCAACTTCCTCTGTTTGCGCCTGCGGTTGACCACTCATCTCACCCCCAGGGAACGGAGTCAAAGGAGGCTCCTCTGGCACCTGTTCCTGCACAGGGCTTCTCACAGGCTGGGTACTAGGTCTACCAGTACTGGGCCTGCCCTGGTTGGCCAGAGTCGCAGTGGACATGGTAGAAGTAGTACGCTGATGCGAAGAGCCATGAATGACACCAAGTTGCCGAGTCTTAGGATCAGCATTGAGATAGTAACCACGCACACCAACAATCGTACCCTCGGACTCGCATGCGTCCACCCACTCAGGCGTGACAACAGGAATATTCATCTCAACAGCCTTCTCCCAAAGCGGGCCCCGGCCCTCCGTGCAAACAAAGTGCGTAGTATCAATGCGAACAGAGTCAATCATCTTACCACCGATCCGATCAAGCGCAGACCCCAGAGCCTCCTTCTGCGCCGGATCCAGTACGCCTGTTGTGACAGTGATACCAGACAGATCGGTCATCTTGTGCGTGCGACACGTCAGCTTCTCGGACTGGTAAGTACCAGCAGTCGTCCGGAGGACCAGATGGAAAGTGTATTCGGAGTGAATGGCTAGACCGGAGATTTTCGTACTGCGAGTCTCCAGGGGACGGGGTATGGAGCCGGCCTTTGAGCCATTGCGATAGAGGGAGAGGGATTTCAGGGATGCGGTAGCCAAGTCGATAGGGTCCCATTCGAGGACGAGGGAAGTCTGCGTGGCATTTCGCAGACGCAGGATCGGGGGCGAGGGAGCTTTCACGCCGTAGGTATTGAGGATTCGTTTCTGGAGGGATTGGAAGGCTGTTGCGCTGGCTGCTTCTGCGGCGTGGTTGCGCGAAACGGTGATGTCCACAATGCTGCCGGAAGCGATGTTGTTAGGGAGGAGGACGGAGGGGAATTCGATCTGTGCGAAGGTTGATTAGCTATGTTTCTTTTGGGGTTGGGCGTGGCTTGTCGTGTCGCAGTTTTGGCTGTTCGGGAGCATGCGACCCAGGGGTTGTGGCTTACGAGGCGGTTGTCTTGAGTCAGGAGGACTGCGACGCCAGCGTCTACCTTGCCGACCGTCAAGGAGACTAACATTGTGTAGAAGAAGGTGAGAGTTCAGATGAATGGTGGTGGTTGTAGAGAGTTGGAGTTGTTGATTCCGCCAGATCGGCATTTAGCGAGTGTCAACGGGAGCTAAGATGCGTTCTATATTTACTACACTTTCAAGCCAACCATGTTGTATTTAATTCAAATGGATATTCTTAGTTAATATACATAGTAGTGAGTAAAGATATTCTGACTGTCATTCTGTCAGATAACCAATTCCAAACGCCATGACCGATGCCCCCCAAATAATGTACAGTGATAGTATGATACAAGAATATGAAAGAGTAATATACATATTGACCACAACCCTATGGTCTTGTCCACGTTGGCCCGGTCTTAGCTTTGGAATTGGACTTTGTCTGTGGCTCATTGGCCTTGTTTGCTGCTTCATGTTCCAGAAACGAAGATATTAGATTGTTCGCATCTTCTTGAAGCGAATCCATTTTCTGAGTCACGCACGGCAACTGAACGAGGATATCTAGAGTCCCCGTCACATTGGTCTTGTGCAGAGGGGACTCCGAGACGAGCGGTTTCCCTGACTTGTCCAATCCATGCTGCTTGAGAGCTTGCTCAATAGCAACACGCACTCGACGTGCGCACCAGGAACGGACCACCCGCTTGTGCTGCTGGAGCTGTGTCACGGAAACCCGCCACCATAATGTATTGCGATCTCGGTGCCCGCAGAGATGGACAATCTTGGGTCGGATAGGATGAGAGGGTGCGTTTAGGTAGCGGCTTGCGACGGGAGGCATGTTGTTTTTGGGAGCCCACCGCATTATTATGCTATTGGTAGGCGTTACCGCTTTGAATAAAGACATTTTGAGAGAGGAGTATCGGTAATCGCAAGGATATGTTGGCTCGGAGAGAGATTCGGAGATTCGCAGCACATTGGTATCATATCGGATCAGCAGCGAGCTTCATGAAAGAGCGACAGGCACTCTGGCCGTTGTATGGATCGAGACGTTGGACTTCGGGCAACAGAAGTATCATCGAGATACCATGAATATCGATATCAGCGCCTGAGGTAGCAGCCCAATGGAGGTAGGATCGCAAAGTCTCGGAATGACCAGAGCCCAGGCAACCAAGTCAGACGTGATGTAAGTAAATAGCAGCCTGCAATCCCACAGTATCACAAGGCCTCCAAATAACACAGAATATCAAGACATTAAGATCTGAAGATACTCAACTCGCCGTCTTTTTTTGCCAGGCGGTCGGACCAACACCTCAGCATTCAGGCCGCAATTTCCACATTGACGCAAGGTGCCTGATTACGTAACGCGCAAGATTTGACTCGGGCACAACGCCCCCCACTCTTCTTTCTTTCTTCCATCCTCGCTTCTCTGGTCATCCTCGATCAGGCCTCTTTAGATCTTGATTGATCTGCAGGAAAAAACACAACAAGTGAGATTCGACCCAGGTGAAGGTCACACACAACCACCATGCCCAAGAACAAGGGAAAAGTAAGATCACAAAATTCAGCCCCTCTTTCTTTGATAATTTCCTCCCCCGCCACTCTCACCTACCGCTTCAGGCTGACCCCCTGACGCGCTGGTGATGTGGTCCTGGGGTAAATTTCATCGTTGAAATAATATGACAAAAGACACATGCTAACAACTGACTACAGGGTGGTAAGAACCGTCGTCGCGGAAAGAACGAGAACGACAACGAGAAGCGTGAGCTCGTCTTCAAGGAAGAAGGCCAGGAGTATGCTCAGGTTGTGAAGATGCTTGGCAACGGTCGTCTCCAGGCCGTGTGCTTCGACGGCGAGAGCCGTCTCGCCCACATTCGTGGCAAGCTCCGCAAGAAGGTCTGGATCAACCAGGGTGATATTATCCTTCTCTCGCTCCGTGACTACCAGGACGAGAAGGGTGATGTTATCATGAAGTACACCGCCGACGAGGCCCGTTCTCTCAAGGCCTACGGCGAGTTGCCCGAGCACGCCAAGATCAACGAGACCGATACTTACGGCGCCGAGGGTATCGAGGACAACGTCGAGTTCGACGAGGACCGTGAGAGCGAGGACGACCAGGAGATCGATGTCGACGAACTCTAAGGTCACCCCTTGCCATCCCCAGAGTTCGATGCTCTGCCCTGCAAGAATGCCCCGGAAACGTCTCTCGGTGTTCTCCATGTTCGCCAACGCCATCCCCTCATACTCGCCGCTGTTGGTCTAGTGTCGTGACTATCTTATCCCGATCATCTCTGCCTACTTGCCACGCGAGACCCTTCGGTTTACGATCATCTCTGTACGTTCGCTTGAACGGATATCAAGAGCATCACAACCTTCTCAGCCTTCGACGCTGCTCTCAACCCCGGCTCTGCATGAGGCAAGGGAATCCCCATACTGGCGCTACTGTGACAATTTTCCAGGGCTTGAAGCCATCGAACAGAGGAATCTCGGTTTTGTCTATCGGCGATTATGGTTTTTTTTTGGTGGATCCTCAATTCCATTATCGTTTTTGCAAATACCTATGATCAGATACAGAGACTCAAAATAGTTGCAAGACACATGATGAACCTGTGTGCTTGTTTCTTTGCAATGCGTTGCATGCGGCGCATTTGCTCTGTTCACCTCGACTTGCTTTTCTTTGTTCTTTTATGATAGATTCATGAAATGGGCCACGAGAATTGAAAATATTACCCACATACATACTGTTACTCCCTTAGAGACTAGACATAAAAGTCAAGTTCTTATGTATAGAAAAGTAACCTGGAACGCCTTGTAGTGCTCATTTACACAGGCAAGTAGACTACCTCTATGTATGTCTATCGCTAACTATCCCCAAAAGACCTATATTCAATACCAAATCAAGAATCCAAACTCCCCTTCCCCTTAGTCGAGCCCTCCACACACCGTCCATCCCCAAACATAGCCTTAGCCGCAGCCTGCCAAACCGTCTCCCTCCCCAAATAATTCTCCAAAGTATAAAAGAGCCGACACTCAGCAGCCTCATAAACAAACTGCAACGGCGTCTCCCCATCCTCGGGGTCATACTCATTCCTCAGATTCAGATTACCACTCCATGAAAGCGTCGCCGCCGTGCTGGGACTAGACGCATTGAAAGCCTTCCACTCGGGAATAGTCAACAGCGGAGATGAACTATTCATTGAGTCACTGATCAGCTTGTTCGCTTGCTGGATGTAGCCATTGATATAGTTGATTCCGAGGGATTGGCCGCCCTTCACGCCGCCGACGCCTTGCATGGGTGCTTTTTGGGGACGGCCGCCGAACGTGATTGTCCGCACGCCTTGGCGTTTCATTAGTTTGACGAAGAATGCGCAGGTTGAGACGCAGTCGCCATCTGTGATCTGATTGTATTGAAAATTGTGTCAGTTATTCATTCGTGTTGCAGGGAAAAGCATTCACTTACAATTGCAATGTTCTCCGCTGGGAACAGGGATTTGCTCGGCTTCAAAGGAACAGGGCCATATCCATTGATAGGAAAGACTTCCGAGGAGGTGGATGTGTAGTTAAAATTAGCCAGCAGACTTGAAGCCGAGCTCCCAAGGATATCATGCGGACCATAGAGATCCTTCCAAGAACTGAAACCCATCTTCTGATCCGGCTGGACCGTCTGCTTATACGCAAAGACATTACTCGAATCGGTAGATGTATCCCGCGAATACGCCTTGGTGAGATACTTCGCCGCATCATGTGCCCGGAAACGCGTCGCCGTGTATGGGGTAGCACCGGGGAAGAAGATACGAGAGAAGTCAATACCAATAGACATGTATCCACCTGGATTGGCAGAGACGTCAATCAACACGTTCTTCTTCCCAGCAGCCGTGGCATTCTGCAAGAAATCGGTGGCAATCTGTGCAACCTCTGATGCACTAGATGAGAATGTAGGCAAGAAGATGACTGCCGTGTCCTGCAGATCTGTGAGATTCGAGTAATATCCCGCAATTGAATTGGCCGAGGTGCGCCAGTCGGTACTAGGGAGTCCGGGTACTTCAGATGCTTTCTCTGCGACAGAGGAGGAACTCAAGGGCGTGGACAAATCGCGAGGAACGCACTCGGTGTTCCAGAGATGCGTTCCATTTTCATAGGAGAAAAACCGCTCGCTTGGCGTGGCTGTCTTCTGCACTGTCTTTTCGGTGCCATTGGCGAACTTCAGGGACAGCTCAGCGCCATCAGTCCAGTCGCCGATGGAGGCCCAGATTCCGTTGGCGTCGGTGGGAGTGTTGGTGACACTGCGGGCCAGTCCGGGGAACACTCGGTTGTATCTTTGGCTGTTAGTGTTAGTCATTGATGAAGGAGAGAAGGGTACATACTGTGCATCGCGATCTTGGAGACTCTGGCCGCTGGCATACGATTCCAGGAACGTGGCTACATCTGTGCCATTGATAGATGCAAGAGGGGAGACAGCCTTTGAGTTGGTCTTCTGCAGTTTGGCATCGTCTAACAAATTGGTTAGTAGACTCATTGGTATCGATTGAAGCTGGACATACTTAATGTGTAAACCTGTGGAAGAGCAAGACCATCTGTTGAGATGGATACCAGCGGTAGGTCTATCCCATAGGTGAAGATAGATTGTGAGCATAGCTGGAATGCGAGATGTCCATCATGAGCAGACTTGATGAGGCTATTAACCTCGAAGTCCATGTCGAACTGACTAGAGAAGCCATTGCTCTTTGCCTTGGCCAGAATTGTGTCAATTCCGCCCATGATATCCGTGGAGGGCATGGTATATCCGGACGGGGGATCTAGTGCATGTTAGAAACAGAGAGCCTTCTTCATGGTGAATATACTTACTTTTCAAGATATCAACGGTCGACTGAAACTCGAGGATCTTGCGGACCTGATTCAAGAAATTAAGGGCACGATCCGAGTCAAAGGGCATAGACAGTAGACACTGATGAGCCAGATCATGAGGCACACGGGCATTGACTGCGACTGTTAGTTACATTCCACAGATGCAGGTCGAGTAGGAAAACTCACTTTTGTTTTGGTTGGCATCAGCTACCAACTGGCTAACCTTTGCACACGGCTCAACATCTCGTACATTCTTAGCGGCGCCAACAACAGCCAAGGCGACCGTCGAAAAGGCCTTCAGATGCATGATGGGTAGTTGGAAACGTCAAACGCCATGACGGCAAAGGGATGAGATCTCCACTTAAGGAGAGCCCTTGCGTTTCCTTATTTAGCTGATCTGCAGGATCGACGCCAAGACGAAAAGAATACTATGGGGTAGGCCAGGTTGCAATTCTACAAACATCTAGCACTCGGATGTCTCGGTTTACGCTTGTTTTGGGGAGATACAGAGTGAGTTTGTTTGTGTCTGTTACACATTACATTGATTGACGTAGGCTCATGTTCAACATCCTCGATTTGGTGCGTTGACTTGTTTGAGCTTACGCGTAAATAAGTTGAAACTTCATTAATCAAAGACACTCTTGCGAAAGAAGGCGACGATCTTTCGGGCGGCTTCTTTACCAACCAAGGGATCTAGCTGTTCCGCACTCATATTGGCGATGTCGCTGATGTTGTCCGTTTTGATGATCAGTTGCTCGAGGGCCTGGGGTGTGACACCCGGCACAGCTCGTAGTAGATCCTGTGGAAGGAGGTTGAAGGTACGGTGTTCAATACCAGCAGCTGCCATGACATCACCAGAGCCAGAATTAGAGATATCAAAATCAAGGCCAAGCTGAACTGCACGAAGGGGATCTGGCTCGTGGCCGTTCTTTTTGAGTTCCGCAAAGATCTCGGCCGTCTGGTAGGGGGACGAAGACCAAATGATCTTCAGTCGCGGGAAGGCAAGGGTAAGAAGAACGAGTAGATGCTGGGCGGACTTGGGATTGGAAGGATTGGCAAGCGAGCTGCTACTCGTGGTGGTCGCAGTGCCGGAGGATGAGAAGCCATAGTCTGTCAAGAAGGTGGTTCCAGTCGGAATGGAGGCAAAGGCATCAAATGTGAAGGATTTGTTCTGGTCGAACTCGATCAGAAGTAATGGGTTCTTGTAATGTTGGAGCATAGTTTCAGCCTGGTTGTAAAGACGGCCGTTTTTGAGAGAAGTGATCAGATCGCGGATCGACTTTCGCTCCACGCAAATGTCCGGGGTGAGAATGTAGTCGCCCACAGTGAGCTGACAGGGGATCACTATCATATTGTTGCCATGCAACAACGATGGGAGCGCACTTCGAAATTCTCGCACATCAACTACTACCCGTGGAGGAGATGCGGTAGCAGCCAGTCGGCCTCCTCCAGCAATACGAGTATTCACTGTTCTAAGGAACTGCTCTTGCGGGTCTTCGGCCTTTTTATCATGCGTTAAAGTAACCGCCATGTTCTGAAAGAGAGGTTAGCTAGAGATTCTAGACGATCGAGAGAGTAACTTACCCCCTTCTCCTTGATCAATTTGGTAAATGAATCCTTCTCTCGCCGGACGGCACTCAGATACCGCTGCTCCTCGACCGAGCCACCGTAATACATGAAGTACACTTTCACATTACGCCCCGAGTGAGAGCTGCGATAGACCTCCACCCTTCGAATAAAGGCTGCATCCGGTTCATACATGATGATGTATCGCGGACGCGCTTCTTCGAGTATGTGTTCATCCATGTCACCGTCATAAGGGTGGATCATAACCAGATCATTCATATCGTACAATTCGTAGAAATCTTCCATGTCTTCCAATTCATCGATGATGATTTCCTCCTTTTGTGTTTCCTCAACCTCAGTGGGTTGAATTTCACTGAGCAAGCTGACGACCTGACCAGGCAATTCGACTTCGGTTTGAACACTGCTATTTGGGACACGTCCTGAAGCAGAAGTAACCGCACCACCGCCACGCACTCGACGACGTTTGTTTGGAGGAGGTCGCCCTTGAGGCGCGCTCTGGGCCGCGGGTGACTCGGAAGACTTTCCGGTCCTATCGTCTTCTCCTGCTTGCGACAAGTTTCTGTTCACATTTGACAACGATCGCTTCCAGTTAAGATAGTCACGTAGTCGGCGGCGCATCATGACTTCTGCAGAAGGCTTCTCATCTGGATCATCGTCTTCTTTGGAATCGGAATGGGCAATCTTGGCATGCATTGTGCTAATGTATTCACGAAGCTGGCGGCATATTCGTTGATCATTGCACATTATCAATATAGTGCTATTTGATTGGTCCATACTCTGAGGATGGAGGTAAGCATCGTGCTCAATTTCCCCAAGAACATCCGATAGAACATTCCACTTTGGAAGTTCCTCAAGAGCTGGGTTTAATTCAGAAGAGAAGTTTGTCGAGTATAAGTTGGGGCGAGTGAGCTCATTGTTAAGCTTTCCTTCATAGACACGCGACTTGGCTGTTTGGAAAAGGACATGGGCTGCATCAAGAAAGAGCCAAGGAGAGTAATTGTGCTTGTTAGAGCCGGGAGGTGGAGAATGTGCAGCCACAATAGTATCGAGGTATTTCACGAAAGATACAGCATCGTAAGTAAGCAAAGCGCTGCAAAATTGTTAGAGTGGACAGAGAAGAGCCAATCGACAAGACTTACTGAAGAATTGCTCGAAGATCTGTAAGGTCGCTGACGATTTGCCTTGTCCTGAAGCTGACACGATGCCAGATTGGGTCCAGTTGACGCCGGATGATAATGTCGAAATTCCGATGCAAGGCACTGTCCAAAGTCCACTCTTCCATATCTAGTCCTGTGTTACTTTTCCTCAGTTCAGCGATGCTGATCTCCACGCATTCGAGGACAGCATTCTGGATTTCTCTCATCTTGTCGCTCATCGGAACTTCCAACTCAATCACTTCTGCCTTTCGATTTCCTTCCAGTGATTCCGCCACGGACACGTGGAAACGAGGCCATAGTGATGCCTTGCGAAGGAAGAGATTCTGCAGCATCTTGGCTAGGGGCGCAAAGCCTGTCGTAAATGGCTCTGGGGAATCCGAGAATGCTTTCAGGAAGCCACGCTTGTTCGATTGCCGATAGACACGGACAATGAACGCCTCGAGCGACGTTGCCACAACCCTATACATGGGTCAGTTGCTGTACAAATATTAATCAATAGAAGCAACTCACTTATCTGCATGCAAGATGATCATACCAGTGACCTTTTCAGGATCAAGCAGCTCTATAAGGATCAGCAGGTGCAAGAGAAATTATAGCAGGTATGCATACTTGATAGCAAATCCACGACCAATATTCTGGATGTTACACTCAGAATACCCCCTTCACCATAGATTCTCTCCCTGGAAGCTTGTCAGTAACCGTAGTCTACATGGCAGATCTAGGATACCCACCTCATCGGCACCGTAGCCTTCTCAGTATTGATGACCTTCAATCCTCTAGCAAGAGGTGACTTGCTAGTAGCATAATGCTCCGCCAGTGCTATTCCGAGCCCATCAGCCTGTGATTCCATCGCTCGACACGTGTGCTCCAATCCACCTACCCTCTCCGATCCACTCATTCTCGCGTTCATCCGCCCCAACCACCAAGACTAAATTGTTTCCGGCCGCATCGTAGAAATGAAGTAGATTGGTTATTAGATGTAGTAGCCCGAGGCCACGTGCGAGCACAACTAGCTCATCTTCGGCGCGTAGTTCGGTGAAGAGCTCCTGCTGGTATTGCTTCAAGCAAGTTAGTCAGATGCTTTGCACCACTCATTATGGGGTCATGGGTCGCTTACCAGTGGCAGGGACAACTTCACCGGCACATTAGTCCGTTCTGGAGGCATAGGGAGCACTTCCTGACGCGTTAAGGCAACGGACTATCTGGTCAGCCAAAATGTCACGAGGTCACGTGCCATTACATGTGACGTAATGTCTTAATTTAGGAGTATGAAGAACGGTTGGCACAGTTTAGCCGCTCCTAAGTAGGTGCCCAGAGGATTTGAACTGGTATCTATTGTATCTGAAGGTTAATCCAATACTGGCCATCTGATAGTATGTATGTCCAACTTGAAGCCATGAAACGTAGAGCTAGAGCACTAGGTAACTTCCCAGTTTACGTCAACTCTTAAGTGTAACCACCTCGAGAATAAATTTTGATCAAAGCATCATATTATATAATTTATGTGCACTAATTATTCTGGCTATGACAGCCATGCCCCCGGTAGAGGAGCACCAGAAGACAGCTAGGTAGTATTGCCTGCGTACACTAGTCTGAATAATTCCCCGGACTGATGATCAAAAAAGCAGACAAAATAAAAAGAATGGTGATTAAAATACGTAAATCATAGCAAAACTGAGATCATCTATCGACCGTCCCTCAGATCACTTGTTCAATTCCTTCATGCGTGCCTCGAGTTCCTCCTTCGAAGCCTTGGGGGGCATGTCTGCACGGAGTTAGCCACGGCAGACACGAATTAGTGAGCTACACACTGTCAGGAATATGAGGACCCTTGGACAAGAAGTCTTGAGCAGACGCCTTCTGGGACTCATCATTTGGTTTCTTCTGAGACTCTTCATTTGGTTTCTTTTGAGACTCATTGCCTCCCTTTTGGAGCACAGCTGGAAAGTCCGACGGTTCAGGGATGACAGGCATAATGAAACAGCAGAGCGTTCTGAATTTGGGTAGAGAGTATTGAGAGTTCAAATGAAGTAGTATTAGGAAACAGGGGAAACAGGAGAAACAGGACTTGGAAGTGTCAGTTTTATAGATCTCAGACGGGATGACGTCGGTGGGCGACACGACAAATTACAGTTACCTATGGCAGTGCAAATGTATTAATGTAGGTATGACCATGATTCTATGATTGGTTAATTGAGTTATCCTATTTCTGATTGCTATATAAATTTTCATCTTGCTGAGGTGAATTTATAGTTATGCTTCGCCCTCAGGCTAACAATATGATGCCTCCTCTGATCGGGCTAGTTATACTAACCATAAGCGATATACAGTGTGCGTAAGATAATAAATTTTATGAAGTATTGAACTGAATATTGAAATAAGAATGAAGATGTTCCATGAATCAAATACTTCGCGAAAAGAACCTGAATTTGTAGGCCAGAAACCGCAAGAGCTTTGACAGCGGCTACCACGCAGACCAAAAGACAGCGCAACGTCCATCACAATCGTCGAATGTCCGGAGTATGAGTCGTCGTTCGATGACCCAAAGTGAATTTCCCTCGTTTCTTTCTATACAATTCGCACTTTACGCTAAGCAGCATCCCGTAATTCGTCGTTGGACATGCTAACAGCACTTTTCTTACTATAGAACGTTTTAATAGATCCGAAATAGCATACAATTGTCTGATAGAATATCAGAGATTTCAAAATTGCCCTGGGGCACGCCTTAATAGTACATTTAAAGTACCACGTGCCACTATGGCGGTGCGGCGGAAGGCCCAGGTCACTCCGGTGTACTGGGTCCCCCGCCTACGTCTTCTCACTTCCCTCATCATCTCCAACTCCCAAGGCTACCGCCGGTCGGCTCCTCTCCACCTACCTCTCTCCCTCCGATCCGGAATACCTCAATCTCCCCCCTTATACTCCGTACCTCCCGCCGCTATCCTATTAGTCGGTGTGTTGGGCACTCCATCAAGATACCCGCCCGGCTGCAATGTGTGATCTACTCACTTAGCAACCCTTCGAACTACACATTTCTTCTCTTCGTCTACTGTGGGCTCCCCTGAAATCACCATGCCCTCTATCCTCAGCGATTCCGACAAGGAGACTGTCAAGCGGAATGTCCCCAAACCCGCCAACAAGATCCTCGCCGTAGCTGTCGCACGACTCTACGTTGCCTACCCCGACGGACAGCGATGGACATTTACCGGTATTCAAGGGGCTGCAGTTCTCTGCAATGACCTCGTAGGAAGAACCTTTTGGCTGAAGATAGTCGATGTCTCGGTGAGTGGTGCATGTTGGACCCAGAGATAAGAGCTGAGTGCTGACAATGTGATGGCGAAGCCTGCTGGAAGAGGCGTGATATGGGACCAGGAGCTCTATGACAACTTTGCTTACAACCAGGACCGAACCTTCTTCCATACATTCGAACTTGAAGACTGCGCCGCCGGATTATCCTTCGTTGACGAAAAGGAGGCCAAGACCTTTATCAAGAAGGTGCATGAGCGGGAGAAACATGCGAGCAAAGAGACACTCAAGACCCCGTTCGCATCAACCCGGGGACAGGGGCCGGCTCCTATTGCCAATGGGAAGGTTGGTCGGTCTTTGTTCGGTAGCTTGCTGCATCGTTCGAGCGCAGCTCCAAGTGCGCCGCCGCCGACAGCACCTGCGCCGACAATACAGGTTGCTCCTCCCCCGACACTGGCCCCAAGCGCGCCTCCAAGTGCGCCTCCAAGTGCGCCTGCTGCTAAGCCAGACCTGCCATTCGATGCAAAGCTGTTGGACGAGCTCAAGGAGATGGGAATTACCGAAGACCAAATTGCCGAGAACTCCGATTTCATCAAGATGTACATTGATCAGAAGCAAGCGGCAGCTCAACCAGAGCCTGCCGAGGAACAGAGCAAGCCTAAAGCCGCCCCTCCTCCGCCTCCTGCTCCAAAGGTGAACACAATCAGCCCTCAAGACACAGGATCCAGCTCGTCAAGCCGACGCGGCCCCCCACCACCCCCTCCATCTCGAAAGGCACGCCCCGAAGCAGCAGAGGAACCAGTTTCTCCTCGTGAACCATCTCCGCCTGCCCGCAGATTCAACGCTCCTCCTCCACTTGCAGATGCAGGCAAATTTGCCGAACCAGCTGGCCCGGCGCCGCCGCGCCGTCCACGCGCAACATCGAATGTTAATCCTGGTCCTCCGCCGCCACCGCGCCCCCCGAAAACCCCCATGGAAGAGAACCAACCTAGTCAATCTCGATTCGGGGTACCACCGGCGTTCTCTGGTGATCGCAAGGTCTCCGCGCCGCCGGCACCACCAAGCCGTAGCCCTGCACCAGGTGGACCTCCTCCCCCGCCGCCTCGTGCGATGAGCCCAGCAGCACCACCCCAATTACCGCCTAAAGTTCCGGCTACAACTACTATGACAGGGCCCCCTCCTCCTCCACCCGCCAGGGGTCCTGTATCTCCACCACCGCCTCCTCGACCTGTGCCAGCCGCGCCATCTTCTCCTGCTGCGGTTCCACCACCACCGCCCCGTGGCCCAATCTCGCCTCCGCCCCCTCCTCCGCCATCTGTACCTACATCATCTCCGAGTCTTCCCCCTCCACCGCCTCCGCCGCCTGGCTCTGCGGCGCCTGGTGGCCCTCCACCTCCTCCTCCAGGGCGTGGCGGTCCTTCGATGCCTCCTCCCCCGCCTCCTCCTGCAGGTGGTTCTGGGGCACCTGGAGGACCACCTCCACCCCCCCCTCCTGGTCGATCTGGCGGTGTCCCACCTCCACCTCCCCCTGCTGGGGGTGCCGCACCACCCTTACCCAAGAGCACCGGTGGACGCGATGATCTCCTGGCGTCCATCCGAGCCTCCGGTAGTGGAGGCCTGCGCAAGGTCAAAGACTCTGACAAGAAAGATCGAAGTGCTGCCTTGGTGCCCGGTGGTGCTAACGAGTCTGCTGGGAGCCCCAGCGGAGGAGGTGCTCCTCAGGGTGGTCTGGCTGGCGCATTGCAAGATGCCCTCAACAAGAGAAAACAGAGGGTCAGCGGAAGTGGTATGTAAAAATCTGATCCTTAAAATGAATGATATGGTAACTAATTATCCTCGCAGATGATGAGAAAGACAACGATGACGATTGGTGAGCAGTTTGCGGTGGATTTGTTCAAGTATTTTAAGATACCAATGGCTTTGCACTTTTGCAAGCATCGAGCATTATATTTCTCTGCTCAAAAGTTTGGCTTTAAAGAGCGCTTCAGAGGGAGGCAAGACAATGCACTTTGTATATAGCTTTCAATGGTAGTGCGAACAGTTTGGTTCAGTATTTGAGTAGGGAATCGTAGATGTCAGTAGCGTTAATCACCGAGATAGCTCTGCTCTTTACTGAGGGCCTGATTGTTACAGCAGAATACCTGTACAACTAAGGAGACAAAAACAAGATTGTTTTGAAGTTTCATAGTTCTGGTGCCCGGATCAACCTTGTCCCGAGCGCGGGAAAAAAGCGCATCTGATCTCATCGCGAGAATTAACAGCTCGACATTCAGACATGCTGTCTCCAAAGCTGTCTGCTCCTTCAGCGTCGTTACTGCGCTTTCTACATACACAGTCTGGGTTTTCTGCTGCCCCAGCATGCGCTCGCCCGAAACGTCTCGGCCGTGACAAGGCCTTCTCGACTGAACGAACCTCCAAACTTTCGAGCTGGGCACGTCCCACGACTCCATACCCTGCAAGAAATGATGGCGCCACGAACGGAAGATCCAGCGCGACCAGACCAATGCTCTTGCCGTCACCAATGCCGACACAGGTAACATTCTCGCGTCTCGCGTCCACCAAAAGTCGCCCATTTCTCCGACGGCTGTTCGATTTGAAGCGGAATAAGGCGTCGGAATACCAGAACCAAAGGCCTGCTGGTCCTGGGCTTATTGACGAAGGCACGGAGGGTTTATTCAACATTGGCCGAAGCCTTTCAGCGAAGGCTTCAAACGAGCTGCGAATTCGATGCACGGAGTTTGATATCAATGGAGACGTCACGCTTGTAAATGGGGAGTTTCGGAAGCTGGAGCTGATTGCAAAGGTTAATATTTAACCTCGCATCACTAGACATGGACCTTTGCTAACCAATGAATCGTGTGATATAGTACGGACTGCTTCCTCGGGACCTGCGCAAGATCGATTCATCAACTCTCCCTCATATTCTGGTACGGCCGAGTGCCATTCTAATCAACCTCCTTCACCTGCGAGTGCTCATCAAAGCGGATCGAGTGCTTGTGTTCGACGCGTACGGATCAACAGACTCCTACATGCAATCGCTGTTCATCTACGATCTAGAAGGAAAGCTACGCCAAAAGCAATCACAGCTTGCCACTCAGCCCAGCCAGTCACTGCCATACGAGTTCCGCGCGCTGGAAGCCGTTCTCATCAGTGTTACAAGTGGCCTTGAGGAGGAATTTAACGGAGTGAGAGATCCGGTCGTGCGTGTTCTACGCGCGCTGGAGGAAGATATCGATCGTGATAAGCTTCGGCACCTTTTGATCTACTCTAAGAAGCTGGGTACATTCGAACAGAAAGCTCGATTGGTACGAGATGCTATCGATGATCTACTAGAAGCAGACGATGATTTGGCAGCTATGTATTTGTCCGAGAGAGCGAAGGGCATAGAGCGAGAAGAGGATGATCACCAAGAAGTTGAAATGCTCCTGGAGTCATACCACAAGGTGTGCGATGAAATCGTTCAGGCCAGTGGTAACCTTGTGACGAATATCCGCAACACAGAAGAAGTGTACGTTCACCCTTGTTTTCAAAATACCAGGCACCTCTAACATGAAACAGAGTCAAGGCCATTCTCGATGCCAACCGCAACTCGCTCATGCTCATGGACCTTAAGTTCAGCATTGGAACACTCGGCCTCGCAACAGGAACATTATTCTCCGCTCTCTACGGAATGAACTTGAAGAACTTCATCGAAGAATCCGATTTCGGTTTCGGTGGTGTCTCAGCCATATGCTTCGCTCTTACAGGCTTTGTATGCGTCTACGGACTTGCCAAACTTCGCAAGCTCCAGCGCGTCCGCATGTGGGGTGAATCCGGCGTGGGAGGCACTTCTCTCGCTCCGCTATCTCCGAAGCGCAGTGCACTCGGCGGTAACCGCAACAACTGGCGCGCTGATTCGATCGAACCTATCTGGGGCAGTCTCCCAGGTGAAGGCAGATCCGAACGCATGAAGCGTCTCAGAGAGAATGCAGCAGCTCAGGCTGCATCTAGGAACACCAAATTTGGAGTTCCCAATGGCCCTGGCACTGCTGCTGCACAATCTCCAGCTCCAGCTTCTCCTTCTCAAAATACGTCTCGCTCAGAAGGTGGCAAGGGCACTGAAAAGGAAACTGCTGCTCGCCGCGAAGCTAATGTGAAGCCTGACCCAGTCAACTAGTCAGGCGCGTGATCAAATTACTATCGACATATCCAATGGCCGACCGGTCATCTGGCTTCCTTCATCTTTTGGCATTTGGATTTGGATCTCCAACTAACAGCAACGGAGTTGAAGAGCATTGTATTATTTTTGTACATTACACAGTCTTTCCTCTATATCCCCCCTCCATGATTCATGTTACATGTTCGCTGTGAATAGATTTAGAGCATACCTGACGAAATACCAATTGATATCTACTTATTTATCAATCTCCTTGTTGCCGATGAAGGCTCTTCGCCTGCTCAATCCAGAGCTTGGCAGCAGCCTGAACTCCTCCATCTTTAGCGCATTCACGCTCAATAATTTTGGTGACCTTATCCACTAGCGCCGACTGGGAGCTCTGGCCAGGGCTTGTTTTGGCCGACTCTTCTGCCTGCTGCTTTCTTCTTCCTATCAAAGCCCTGGAAAAAGCACCTGGGGTCTGTAAATATGTCTCCTCGACCTCGAACTTAGCTTCCTCAGCAATATCTCTTGTTTTAGCTATAAGAGACCCAATCATAGAATTGCCGAATCCACGTTCAGTTTTCTGCTCGTCTTTGGTGGCTCGAAGAGATCGTAAATCGCCAGAAGAAGGTTGAGGATTCTGCTCCACATACTTTTCGGCATTTGTACTCGTATCGAAATTGACGCTCTTTTTTTCTGACATGCTTTTCTTCGGAGGATAGCGGTAGCGAGTGCCAGAAAGAGAACAAGAGCAACACGGTATAATGAAAAAAGGCAAAGGAGACGACGGACTAGCAAGGGCAGCCATAAGTGGAGTCCAAACAGTCAACTCGTCCGAATGATCAGATATGATGAACACATCGGCGGGAAAGTCGCCCGTGTGTATTTCCGCTTCGATATCTGGCAGGCCTGTGGCATCTATAAAAGGCTGGGGAATGCATATTCTTTCCTCGAGGCAGTACTGTACCTCGACGGGATATGTCTCCCAGGTTTTGCGACGGCGGGCATCAAAGCCTGATCCCTTGTACCCTTCCATATAAAGCACATACACGAGGATACCACTCCCACAGGCTAGACTCACAAACCCCGGAAATAGCACATTGCTGTATGGTTGAGGTTGTAATTGGTCTGTTGCTGGAACGGCGCCGTACATGCCTCGCCAGAGTTCAATCAGGTAGGCAGCCAGATATAGCTGTTCCAAGATCTGTTTGGGTTGTTCGAGTTTCTCAATCCAGTTTTGGTGTAATGATTCTGCATATTTGAGCTTCAGTCGATGGTAGGTTGTTTCGATTGGATCTTGCGAGACGCCATCCTGATTGCCTGAGCTGAGAGTTTGAGCCCAACTCGGCAGTCTAGATCCGGGAACAGAAGACATCGACAGAAATCTCTCTTGTTGAGATATACGAATAGTTCTCCGCCATTGACAAAGGTGAAGCCGAAGTGGAATTTGGATTCAGATTGGATGCTGATGTTTGAGGAGACGATAAGTGGGCTGTTGATTTGAGTCTGCAATCTCTAGCAATAACATACAGGAAGTTTTGAGTTGCTCGATCAATGTCTGCACAATGAAGTCTTTCAGTGGCTGACACAAAACATTCGGATTTAACGACGTCGCGGATTCAAACCGCCCCACGTGACCGTGTATCAATTAACTACTGGAAATCTTTTAAACAAGAACAATCATGTTGGAAATGATCTTTTGAATCAGATTGGAGAGATGTCATTTTTCATTTTTCCCGGAGCAATAAAATTGTTGATTCAGAAATTACGTTTTTTAAACCCAATCCAACATTCATGTTCCTGACGCAAAGTACTGTAAGTATTCAATATCTATATTGAGGGTGTCAGCGACTTCTTACCTCAAATGTGGAGAAGGTCTCATCATAGAAGACTTCAAATCGGCTTGTAATCCCAGGACTCACGCCTTGCTGCTTCTCATACCCACTAGTAGTGTATTTTCTGTAGATGGCAGCAAGCAATGTTGTCATCTCCGCCATGGCAAGACTAGAATAATTGGTCAAAGGATCTTCACTTTTGGCTTCTTCACCGAGTCAAACTTACTGCAAGCCAATACACATGCGGCCTCCACTAGAGAACGCCCAAAGCCACTTTTTCATCTCTGTAAGATCCCCACATAGGCCGAGCCACCGCTCAGGGTTGAATCTCAAAGGCTCCGGGAATACATCAGGATTGCGATGAAGTGTGTACGGTGACATGCTCACAACAGTTCCGGCTGGAATAAGATAACCGTCGATTATTGTGTCAACCGGCATCGATCGTGGCTCTGATGCTGGTAGAGGGGCATATAGCCGAAGTGTCTCCTTGAGAACAGCATCAAGGTAAGGCAATCGGTCTGCGACTTCAGCGAGTGGATTTCCATCCTCGTTGCAATCTGTGTCGAGAATAGTACCGACCTCTTGGATTAATCTCTCTTGATAGATCTTATTCTCTGGTCGAGAAAGAGCCCATATCGCGAACATCAGGGTATCACTTGTCGTATCGATGCCGGCTAGTAGATGGTCGGCCAATTCGGAGGCCATATCGAGACCATCGAGACAAGTACCTTTGCCAGACTTGCTGTGGCGCCACAACTTATCAGCAATGGTCAAGTCCTGCTCCGGATCCTTTTCCGTTGCAGCAGTCTCAAACCCGGTCCATGATTGGAGGGCATGTGCTCGAATACCCGTATAGGTTGCAGGTTTCTGCATAGGCAGTAGCCCCAGCTTTGTGACAACTTTCTCCATGGTTCCGGTCCGTGTATAAAGCCACTTCGTGTATTGCTTCAAGTGTACCGCATACCAGCTTAGCTTTCGCCGACTAGGGTCGATAATATCGCTCAGCATTCTCCTGTCCGTGTCATTCCCTCTGAGTGCATGTGTTCCTCCGTGTTGGTCTCCGTAAAGGAAGCCGGTAATGCTGTCAAGACTAAACCAATGAAGGCTCTGGAATATCTCCTCGGCCACCTCTTTCTCCCTTTCCAACAGGTCCAGGTAGCTCTTCACATTTTTCTCTATCAAGGGCTTTGCAATCGCGTTGGGCGACAGTACCACACTTTTGGAATAAGCATGGGCAAGTAGCTTCTTCCTCTCAGCATGTTGTTTAGTGCCAGCAAAGGTGAAAAGATTCTGTCGTCCATAGACGTCAAACATTCTGTAGAACTCTGTTCTCTCAAAGCCCGATCCTGCACCGTAGATCGTTCTTAGAGCGGAAAGGGAGGAGAATGACACCTCGTTTGGGCCGATGCGCACTGCTGTGCCATATTCCCGGTGTAAGGAGTGTACGCATTGAGTTCTGACTCCATGGTAGTCGGCAAACGCCAGTCGCCATTTAGATGCGGCGAAAATCTTTGGACCTGGGATCTTTCGTAGAGGAGTTGCCAGTAGTGGCTGGTAGATGAGCTGATAGAAGATATAAGCAGACAAAATTAGCACCGCAACGTATCCTGTGTTCTCTGACAGAGCCTCAAAGGCTGTAATGATTAGTATTCGCGAACAGTTGTTGAGACATCTCTTTCTACCAACCTCCGTAGGCAACACTTCCAGTCATCTCAACTCTGTTCGTTGTGAGAGGGAAGTTGAATGTCGTGACATATTCCGCACGTCTTATCTTTTCTCCAACTTCACGTCGGCAACCCCGCAGCCCTAGAACATTTATCTCTTGGCAAGCACATTTGTGTGATCGGACCAGCCGACTTCAGAGGGTTGGAGGCCTCATGGAGGTCGAGTAGGAGCTGTGTTGTTTTGGTAGGATTTAAAGCTTGGGGAAAGATGCTGATTTGCACGGAGTTCAGTCGAGAAGTTAGCACACTTCAATATCAAACCCTGTCCGTCTTACCAGTCTCTCCTGGATATCTACGGCCCAGCAAAAATGGCACCCTCTGCAACTCAACCAGATGTTCTTCCTGGTATTCAACTTAGCACCAAACCTGTCGACGCCATGGCGGCTATGGCCCACAGAGGCAAAGCACTCCCCGGAATTCCAAAATTCGCTTCCAGCGCCAAAAAGCGACAGTGGCAGCTTGAACACATGGCGGGCGCATTCCGAGTCTTTGCACGCGAGGGCTATGCGGAAGGCATATCAGGGCACATCAGCGTACGCGACCCCGAGTTCGAGGATCGATTCTGGATCAACCCACTGGGCGTCCACTTTGGAATGTTGAAGGCCAGCGACATGATCTGTGTGAACTTGGATGGCGATGTTGTGGACGGAAACATGGCTGGTTCTATCAACGCTGCTGGCTTCCAAATCCATAGTGCAGTGCATCGTTCGCGTAAAGACGTGCATGCTATATGCCATACCCATTCTGTCCATGGCAGAGCTTGGTCTGCGTTTGCAAAGCCGCTTGATATGATAAATCAGGATGTATGCTACTTTTATAAGGCTCACTCAGTGTACTCGGATTATGGAGGCATCGCAAACGAGTCGTCTGAGGGAGAGAGAATCGCTGAGAGCCTGGGAGATGGCAAAGCTGCCATTTTGATGAATCATGGGCTCCTTACGGTAGGAGAGACGGTGGATGAAGCAGCTTTTCTTTTCTGTCTGATGGAAAGGAGTTGCAAGATCCAGTTGTTGACCGATCGAGTGGAGTTGGAGAAGAATATCGTGAGTGACGAAGAAGCTGCCTACAACTTCAAGATGGCGAGCACTCCTGTGAGTTTATTTCCAATCCCAAGTTTTTAATACACTACTGATAGAAGATGCAGGAGACTTTGTTTACCGAATTTCAGCCTCACTATCAGTACGAGGATTACTTGTGCAATGGCAATTTCAAGAAATAGCAACTGCATTGTACAAACATATTAGGCGATGATAATTAATATAGATTGTGGATAAAACAAGCAAAGCCTCTGCAGTAGTGAATGCTAGGGCTATTCACCAAATGTGCACCCCGTCGCTTCACGCAATATGGTCGAGGTAGAAAGAAAGATGATCTGTCGGGCGAGCCGCAATCTGCCTTTTGTTCAGCAGATAAGGGCAAGTTAGTGGAAAAAGGCTGTCGGAAGTTCCGATAGTGCGATAATTCTCTTTAATTTGTATGGACGACCAAGTCTCAGTTGGTTTTCCATGATCATCCAATGAACAGGTCTGAATAAAGCGCTTTGACGCCAATACTAGCGATTTTGATAGCGTAGATCGTTTTGATACCCCGGTCGTAACCATTCTAGGCTTTCATATCTCACCGGTAAACATTCTTTAAAACAGACAAGATGCCAACGCTACCCAAAGACATACCACAAGCACGTCGGAATGTGTCAACAAAACTCTCTACCGTTTCATTAAAGTCACCTAAGCTACACTGATATCGTTAACTTTGATTTGCCTTCTTTTTCAGCTTGAGACTAAACTAGGAGAAGATGCCTACCTCTAAGTACACTGAGAAGGGGCCATCATCTTCGTTCACTAGCAGTGAACCTACTCCCGATGCTACGGATGATGCGACCATTGGAACTGTCTCAAGCAAAACTGCAGGTTCACAAGCCTTGCATCGCAAATTACGCGGGAAAGAAGTGCAGCTGTTTGCAATTGGTGGAGCAATTGGAACTTGTGAGTCGACCGTTGTCTTCAAGGAACAAATCTAACTGGACCACCAGCTTTATATGTTCAGATGGGCTCGGCCTTACCAAAAGGAGGACCTGCTGGTCTCTTCATTGCCTTCATTCTATGGGGAATGGTTATGTGGGCAGTTAACGAGTGCTTCGCCGAGATGGTGACTTACCTCCCTGTGCCATCACCCTTCATTCGCTTTGGAAGCGAGTGGGTTGACGGTGCGCTAGGCTTTGCTATGGCCTGGAACTTCTTTCTCAATATGGCATTTCTTGTGCCTTTCGAGATGGTGGCTATGAACATCATGATTACATTTTGGACAGACAAGGTCCCTGTCGAGGCTATCATCGTCGCGATGATCGTTCTCTATGCCTTGCTTAACGCGATTAGTGTGCAGTACTTTGGAATTTCCGAGTTCTACCTATCAATCTTCAAAGTTGTCTTGATGATTGGGTTATTCTGTTTCACCTTCATTACTATGCTAGGGGGCAACCCGTTGCACGATCGATACGGATTTCGATATTGGGACAATCCTGGAGCATTCGTTGACCATCTTGTCCCCGGGAGAACAGGACGATTCCTTGGCGTTCTTTCTTGTGTATATCAGGCTACTTTCTCGTGAGTCTCTAGTCCTTCGATCAGGGAATCATTATTGACAGCCCAAGGATCTGCGGACCAGAGTACATATCTATGGTTGCTGCCGAGGCAGAGAATCCTCGAAAGATTCTACCTCCCGCTTATCGATCTTTTGTCTGGCGCATTCTAGTATTCTTCGTGGGCTCTGCTCTTTGCATGGGTATCGTCATCCCCTATAATGACTCGACTCTCCTTTCTATCTTAGGAGGGGACATTTCTGGATCTGGCACGGGTGCAGCATCGTGAGATTTTCTTTTCCCATCATATATAATTGATTGGCTAATACCCATTTAGGCCATATGTTATTGCTATGGAACGGCTTAAAATTCATGGCCTTCCACATCTCGTGAATGCCCTTATCATGACGTCCATATTCAGTGCTGGTAACGGCCTTTTATTTGCAGCGACTCGCACCCTACACGGAATGTCACTCGAAGGACATGCGCCTCGGTTCTTTTCATGGTGCACTAAGAGCGGCGTGCCACTCTGGGCACTTCTATTTTCTCTCTCATTCTGTCTACTCGCTTTTCTCCAGGTCAACAGCTCCTCTGCCGAGGTCATGACTTATCTTGTGGATCTTGTTACATGCTGCCAATTGATAAACTATGGGTTCACAGCCCTAACATATCGACATTTCTACTCTGCACTAGCAAAGCAAGGAATTTCACGAGACACTCTTCCTTACAAGGGCCGATTTCAGCCTTATACTTCATACCTGGCTATAGGCGGTACGAGCTTCATGGTTCTGGCAGGGGGTTATGATCTGTTCATGAAGGATGGATGGGATGTGATGTGGTTCTTTTTGGACTATGGCATGATCGGTTTCTTTATTGTTGCATTTATTGGCTGGAAGCTAATCTTTAAGACCAAATATATTTGGCCGGGAACCGCAGATTTGAGCCTTGGTGGGCTGAAGGAAGAGATCGATAACTACGAAGCTCTATATATGCCTCCTCCCCATGGAAAGGTAGATAAGCTGGTGAATAAGCTTTTTAGTTAGCAAAATTCAGACGTTTATCTCTCAAGATGACTTAACTATGAGCCGACCAGTCTTCGAAAAGAAAAGCTGAATGAACACCTTGGTACTTCGCTGTTCTCGATCAAGCTTTTCAGTTCCATCTCATAAATTCCATCTCACCCCACCTCACCTCTGTTTTAATTCTTCAGATATGATACATTTTTATCACCACCGCAATGCTTTCGTGTGAATCGACCCGTCTGTTCGTTATGTCTGACCCTCAACAAATACTTTCCGACGATCAGTTGATCGTGCAGGCCACCACCGCTGTCGAAACGGCCCAAATTCCCAAAGAACTCGTTTGGAAGAAGATTAAGCCTGAAACTGGATTTTGGGTTTCCTGTCAACTCGGCAACGACAAAATGTTGGCCCAGCGCGATGCACGGTAGCTCATACATCATGCTCTCACAGGTCACTACTTTGGCTAACCTGTCATCTTTCTCTCCTAAAGTCTGTCTTATAATCCCATTACAGAGGAACTACGCATAAATATCATTCATACACTTCTCCATAAATGTCACCGAGGGTGGTTTATGAGGAGTCTATTTGAGTGGTGTGAAGAGGGACTTATCACAAAGGACGAGGAGAAAATGCTCGACATATTTGACGGTATCAGTATGTGATTCGCGATAAACTGATCCTACTCAGAGTCTAAGGTAACATTTTTATACAGCAACTACGGGTTTCGAAAGGCCCTATTCATATGCGGTCAAAGATATCGACATAGGAATGGCCTGTCCGATTGGATCACTTCCACGAGTCATTGTGGAATCTAGATGGTCGATCCCCCGATCCTCCGATTCAGCCAGCTTATGGCTTCAGAATGCAGCCAAAACTCTCCAGGTTCTTATTTTGATCGAATGGTGGAATGTTTCAGCAAACACAGTGGCAGGACAACTTCGAGTCTATCGACGTTGGACAAAAAACGTCCAGACCGAGGTATAGTCGAGCCATTCACCCATAAACTATTTATTTTGTCACTAACTATTACACAGCCCATCTTCCCACTTCCGCCGCGACATCCCGAAAAACGGCGAATCACGCTCACACGAGATGAAGTCATTGGAACTGAAGATAACCGCTTCGATGGGTTGGTGCTTTTAGTCGATGATCTTCGTGCGGATGCACTCAAAGCTATGAGGAAAATGCATCTGAATCCCGCTTCTTGAGGCGTCCTGGCAATATAACAAGAGATGGACGGTTAATTTCGAATTTGCTTGCAGACTGCTGCGTTGCTATACAAATGACAGACTAGCAATGAAAGATGTTTGCAAAGTATACTTTATGTAAGACAGATTGAAGATTACTCAAGAAATCCATGTCCAAAAAGCTATGCCGATGTCCTCCTTCAAGTCTTCCGGGCCCTCTAAGCCTACTGATAGATCTCAAACTCGCTCTTACGTCGTGCCTGATCCTAATATACCCAACAAAGGCCGTGTCCAAACTCTAGAATGCGATGTCCTCTTCTCGGACGCCAATACCGATCCAGACATGAGCTTCATGCATAACAACCTTACTGATTCTAACTTGATAGTCCATGATAACAAAATAGTGGGACTCATTGACTGGGAAATGGCTGGCTTTTTTGGCTGGAAGACTGCTGGAGGTGTCCATCGTAAGCTCAGGCAACATGATAATTATTTTTGGGAGGATCTCTATGAACATGACATCCCTAGTCTTTGAGCGGAGGCTATGTTATTCGGGTGCTACGGCGTTTCGGCGCTTTTGACGAGGTTATGGCCCGCGTTGAAATCGCCTTGCCAGACACGGAGCGATGAAAGCTTGATTTTGAAGTGCACACTAAAATTGGATTCAACGAATCAACACACAAGGTACTCCACAATCTATATATTCAAAAGGGTAGGTAGTACCCAGTCAATCCATCTCACATTCAGGGCTTTGTAAATTCCGCATCACCTTCCCAAATCCCAATTTGGCTCCTCGGCATATGGGATGCATTTTCAAGATGCACGAAACTGGATATGAACACCATAGATCACCATTGGTCATTCCTTCTTCATATACAACATCTTACTAACAATCAATGGCTTTCGAAGAGCTCCCTTTCTATAGAATAGACACGACTAAATCAGGGCAGTTGTAGATCCAAAGTGGAGCCGGATCGGACCCACCATGACGCAAAGTAACCTCCAACCTCAATCTCACTCCCTCACTCTCATTCTCACTCTCACTCTCATTCTCACTCTCACTCTCACTGCACAGTCTACGTAATCACATCTTCACATTTTCTCCGAACAAAATGCCACCTCGCTGCTTCATAATCCGCCACGGCGAAACAGAATGGTCCCTAAACGGCCGACACACAGGAGAAACAGATCTCCCGCTAACAGCGAATGGCGAGAAACGTATCCGAGCAACCGGCAAAGCCCTAGTCGGCGACGACAGACTAGTCGTCCCGAAGAAGCTAGCACATGTGTAAGCTCCTCTCTCCCACCTGAACCGACAATTCCAATACACTATCATATCATATCTATATGATATAGTACCTCTATTAATAAATCCAAACTAATAAAGTACAGCTTCGTCTCACCCCGCACCCGCGCACAACGAACCCTCGAACTCCTCGAGATCGGCTGTCGCGAACGGCTCCCCTGGAATGAGCAGCGCAAGCCTGAAGAGGAAGAGGCTATTCGGACCGAAGCGCGCGTTGAGATTACGGATGCTGTGCGCGAGTGGGATTACGGGGATTATGAGGGGTTGACTAGTAAGCAGATTCAGGAGATTCGGGCTGAGAAGGGGGAGGGGCCTTGGAATATTTGGACGGATGGGTGTCCTGGTGGAGAGTGAGTTTTCTATTTCTTTGTTCTTTGGTTCTTTTTTCCCTTGTTTGTAGTTCATGTTTTATGGTTGTGCTTGGGGTACTTGGTTGCATTTCTGGTTATTCTTCATGCTAATAATCTCCCCCTAGGTCCCCCGAAGATGTCATCCGGCGTCTTGATGCTCTGATCGCCGAGATCAGAGAGAAATACCAGCGGCCCTGCTTTGAGAATCCCGATGATACAAAGGGTGATGTGCTCGTCGTTGCGCATGGACATATCCTGCGCGCATTTGCCATGCGCTGGACTGGGAAGCCTTTGACGGAGACGTCGCTGATTCTGGAGGCTGGTGGTATTGGTACGCTCAGGTAAGATTGAATATCCTTTGCAGAAGCAGCACTGTGAGGTTAAACATGGCTGACGTGACGACAGTTACGAGCACCACAATATCGATGAACCGGCGATTATCCTCGGTGGACAGTTCGTTGTTGAGTGATTGCGAGGGTCATTTAGATGATGCCCGATACTCGATGCCCAGGTGGAGAGGGGAAGTAAATACCTCCGCTGGGGCTATAGACGTGAACAAAGTTAGCAATGTCCATAGAAATAGAATCACAACCAAGTAACTCACCAACTTCCGATCAACATCCACCCACGCACCCATCCCAATCCAAAACCCCATTTCAATAAACTCTCCTAACTCAATCCCAATCGAAATTCACTCCTCCTCACTCCCCTCCTCCTTCTTAACTGCACCATCCCTAGAATCCAAATCCGCATTCGCGCGAACCCCCTCCTCACCAAGAACCTTAGCAGACCCCATAAACAAAGCACCCATATACCCACCGAGGAAACGCATATCACCTGCCTGCACGGCGGTCATGCGAAGCAGGTTCTCGGTGTCAGCGAGGTTAGCGTTTAACTGGGCGAGTTGGGCGTGCAGGTGGGCGTATTGGCGGGTTTTGGCTGCGGACATTGAGGGGGTTGAGGAGGGGATTTGGGGTTGGGAGGTTGTTTGGGTGAAGGTCTGGGATTGGGGTGGGTTGTATGTGTTTTGGGGCATTGTTGAGGGGCGAGGGTTGTAGGTTGTTGTTGTTGAGTCGTGGCGGCGGTGGATTGGGGGGATGGGCATTTTGTTTATCTTTGGGGGTGGTGTTGGTTTGGTGTGGTGTTAGTGTTGGTGTTGAGTAGTGGGATTGTTCGTTGATTGTTTAGAGGGAATGTTTACGTCACGTGGCGATACGTTATCGTATACTTGGAGAAGTCATACAGAGTAGCAAATCGCCCTGTTCTATTCTTAATGTAGATGATATAACGGAAGGTCTATCGATTCAGAAGGATACAGTCTGTCCAGACCGAACAGTCACACTCATTAATGCCCAGCAAAGCGCAGACCCAGAAGGCAACTCAACATAAATCGAACCTCCGGCTCTTTTGGAATGCGCCAAAATCAGAGGGCTAGTAGAGGCAAGGAAAAAGCAAAGGAAGGAAGGGCCCAGCAAATGGTGGTAAAACAGACAAAGCAAAAAAAGGCGTATACGAGTCCAGAGAAAAGGAATGCGCCGGCCCGAGTAGTGTACAGTCATGCAGAGGGATGAGAAGATGGGCAGGTGAGATTGCCGACGACGCTATATCGACATGCTGTGAAAAGACAAAAGGAGATAGAACAGAGAGTGTGAGAGAGGAAGGATAATTGTCCCGAGTTGGCTCGCGCAGCCTCATTAGAAATCGATAATGCCGCGAAGATGAGTATCGATGCAGAGAGAAATCGGAAAAAAGACAAAACGCGCACACCCATACCCCAATCCACTCCGAAACAGAAAATAAACGCAATGAAGACCCCTATGTCCCTCATGTATATGTAAAGAAACGAAACAGCAGTATTAACCGGTGCCCCCATCGGGACCGAAGAATGATATCCCCGCTGGATTGACACGCCATGATGCAAAACGGTCCAAACAAGACCAATGTTCGGTGGAGGGTTCGTCCAGGCCGAATGAAACGTCAATAAAATTCAGTCAATCATCGGGTCGGGTTCAGCGAACAGGTGCTGCGACGCCCTGGCCCAGGCTGACTTGACTGCTATGAGATGAAGGCTCAGAGTCGAGGTTCGCACTCGCTCCGCTATCACCACTCTCCGCGCTGGCGCTCGCACTTCCGGTCAGACTTTTGTTTTTAAGAGGGCCCTTGGCAGGAAACGTGTTGCTCACCCCATAGTGTTGTTCAACTTGCTGCGGCCCTACCGCGTTTCCATGTCCAGGAGGATACCGCGGCACCGGCGTTCGCATGTTACCAGGGGGGGAAGGTTGACCGTGAGGTCCATTAGGGGGTCCAAAGCTGTGGTCATGTGCGGTTGGGGGCCGACCCATCCGGGGGCCTGGTCCAGGAGGACCATGGGGTCCGGGGGGCCCTGGGGGTCCGCCGAGGGGAGTTCCAGGAGACTGGCTGTTACGCCGGCTCGTCGGGAAGGGCCTCGGTGGGTAGTCACCCATGTGGCTGGCCGTGAGGGAGTTGGCTCGCGAGTCCATGTTCATCTGGTTTCGGTCAACGGCACCATATCTGTTGGAAGAGTAGCTCATCATCGGGTTGTCCATGAGGGAATCGTGGAGACCCGGGATTTCTTGCATCACGCGATCGCTCGCGCGCTTCCTGCCAAAGTAGCGCCCGAAGGCTGATGAGGAGGGACGGCTAGGAGGGGCGGACACGGAAAATTCGGGGTTTTTGCGGAATTGACTGTGACTGGGGCCCTTGCGGCCTCGGCGGGAAGTCATACTCATCATGTCCACACTGTCGGGGTCGATGTGAGGGACGGCCATGGTATCCATGGGGTCGAAGTAATCCTCGTCTTCTTCGTCAAATGCTGTGGGGGCCCGGGAGGGCGGTCCACGGCGTGCAGGACCAGGAGGACCCCGGCGCAGGCCCATCTCCTGTTCCCGGATCTGCAGCTCTCGTTGACGAAGAGCCAACTCCCGCTCCCGTAACGCTATATCCGACACTGGTGCCGCGCCAGGCTCAAGAGCGCCATTGCCATTCTGGTGTGGGATACCCTCGCCGGACTCGTCGTATACCACCAAATGGCTGAACTCTTCGAGCCCCTCCAATGATGGGTCGCGCGGAATTCGGTTGTGGGGTGCCATCGGTCCACCTGGGGGAGGTCCACGCATCATGCCTGGGGGCGGGCCACGTCTTTGTGGGGGAATGACCATGCCTGAGGGTGTGCGGCTGGCTCGCATAGGTGGGGGTCCGCCGTTCATGGGTCCCCCGTTCATCATAGGACGCTGCTGTGGAGGGGCGGAAGACAATCGTGGAGGGGGCTGGCCCATCACTGATGCAGGCGGGGATTCCTGCCGGGGCTTGCTTTGGTTGACAATATTGGCGTGGTGCATCATTGCGTACAGGGATTCAATCCGGGGCACGCGAGTGTTGGACTCGAGGGCCAGCTTGATCGGGGATCCGAGGAAAGTCTCAATCTCCATCGGGCGGCGAGCCTGGAAATCCTGGTACATCGTGGTCGGAGCATCCGTGGCAGTCATCTTTTCGATCGTCTTCTCCCGGAAATCACTGGGGAATGAGCAGCCCTGGGCAGAGGCAAGCTCCATCAACTCATCAATGATGCCTGTTACCACTTGACGGACGCCCGTTTTCTCGAGAAGTTGTGTGTGGTTGGGGGTTTCGAACAGAACGCTGGCAGGATGGAACGCGATCGGGCTACGACTTGTTAGCTAGATTTTGATGCCGAATCGGAAAGAACTCACCCAATCATTCGCTCGAATTGCTCCTGACGAATATTCTCCGAGACCTTGCAATCAACCTGGCCGGAATTTAGAGTCATCGCCAATGCCGCTGCCATGTCATTCTGGATGGAGGTGGGAATGGAGGTTTGTTTGTTGGTTGCGCCCACATGGATCTCGCTCGAGCTCAGGTGCTCGAACTCGCTAGGGCCGGTCTGGGAGATTTCGACGTTGGAAACCAGAGAAAGGATGACGTTGGTCGGGTACCGTTGCTCGAGATGAGCCTCGATACCGAGGGTATTTGTGGTGTTGACAAGAATACATGTGTGTTGGGGAGTAACCACGGATTCGATCACCGAGGCCAGATCGTAGACATCGGGCAGGGCCTTCACGCAGAGGATGACATAGTCGTAGGCATTTTCGCGAGAGGATGCTTCTTCGGGGGCACGGACGACTAGAAACCGGTTAGCAAGTGTTGGAAAGCCTCAGGGGATGATTCTCACCATGTCGGGGCTTAAATCGCTCGTTGCCGAATGCTTTGGATCTGCAGAGAGATTAGCCATCTGGATAACTGTCAAGACCAGGCCACATACTTGAATGAGACACCATATTGTGATACAGCGTCAAAGCCTGATTTCCAGACTAAAGTCACATCGCAGGAGGTTGTCGCCTGCAGTCGCCATGAGAGAAAGGCAGAAATCGCATTGCCACCAACTGCACACACGGTTAGACGGTCCATTCTGAGATGTGTGAAAAGTGAAGCTCACCGGACAGAATGCGCAAACGTGGAGGAGGAGCCATCGAGGGAAGGCGGGAGTGACCCGGTAGAGAAGGCGTGACGCCTATAAGAGTTGTTGGATGAGGGCCAATGTGAAGAGTTGAAGGAGAGAAGAAGCAAAAAGGGAGGAAGGACGAAGAGGGGGGGACCACGTTCTTGGATGTTGGCCTTGGAAGTGTCGGATTGGGAAGAAAGGAAGATTGTACGCGCTCGTAAGCTTCTTTTTTTTCGATTCAACGTCCCCTCCGGAAACGGATGATAAGTCTGGATGCGGTTATTTGCTTCTTTTCATTTTTGTCTTCACTGTCAACAGTACTGTATACTCTTTCTGTTTTCTTTTCTACTTTATTCTCCATCTTGTTCTCGATTTTATTCTCAGTTTTCGTCTCTATTTCTATCTCTATTTTCTTCCTTATTTTATTCTCCCCATTCAAAGGCTTACCTTATCTATCAGGCTACGCAATTAATTCGGGGGAACTTTGGAACTTTCAAGGGACCTGAAATCTCATACCCCTGTATAGGTAAGAACGAAATCCTAGTCAAAATCTATATGATTTCGCTTCTTTACTTTACTGTGCTTTTCTACTGTGAGCGTTGGTATGTACATAGTGGAGGGTGGGCAGGCACATCTATAATTAACTTCTCTTTTTTTTTTTTTTTTT